ACGCATGCGCAGAAAAGTTGAAGAAGTTACCATGGTCTCAAGTACCAAAAAATGAATGTCGGCAGACCAGGAATTTTGATACAATCTTCAAAAAAGATGATTAAAACATATTTCTCACCTTTGCATGCTCCAATTGAATGTTGTTTACAAGTTTACGCTAAAAATGAAAGTGGCGTGACCTTGACATGTACGATAACAACGAAACGGTAGATACAACCTTTGTTTTTCCAGCACTTATATTGTGCAATCTTTTCTTGCTTTACAGTGCAGTTTAGCTGTCATATCTTCGCTATTCTCATCATTTTCATAAATCTTTCGCTTAAAGAAACAGATATTTTAAAAGAAACAAATGATTTTGACTCATTATTTAACTTTAAGTCAAATGCTGACTGACGTTTTCATACTAATTGTTCGGCCATTATTTACACACTGAATTTTCGACGGAATATGCCTTTTTTCCCGATCATGACAAGGAGCATACGGCGGATGTGACCGGTCGCCAGGGCATGCTAACTCCTCCATGGCACCTGATCCAACCTCTAATGTTTTAGAAGTCCGTGTTTGCTCTGCTTCTGATTTGTATTGTTTAAATGGACTTTGGAGCTTGAATAATGTTTGTTATCTCCATATATTTCACCGAAGCAGATTTAACCTGTGTCACGTTACTTTTTGGATAAAACTGAAGAGTTTCGAGATGAAACGCGATGAAAATGGAATGGTACTGGTGAACAGTTCGATGACTATTTCACCATGGTTAAATAGCATAGAAACTATTTCACGGTACGGGCTGTTTAGAAACATGGTGGGTTTATTCGGCATACTTTTATAAAAAAAAAAGTTCACAGAAGTAAAATAAACAATAATACGTATCTTTACGTTTAGGCGAATAATGATTAACTAGTAAGATCGTTCTCCTTTAATAATCCCAACACACTCTTTAGTTTATAAAAAGGAAAAACATGGTAATTTCAAGTATCATGTATGTATGGTGTATTTCTGTTGGAGGGACTATTGATTTGTTGGCGATGGACAACTTACAAACGTGTAGGGATTTCTTAAAAAATGCCAAAATTAACAATATTCAACTATTAGAAAACAAAGCACGGTTAAATTTTTCAAAAACGAATTACATTTGATTGATGGCAAAATGTTTTTCTTATGTTTAGCTTCAAGTATTTCCATGCAGACTACACTTAGAAGTCATTTTTAAGCATTGGGGTATTTTCTGTTTATCCCGAATTGCTCTCGCTATAAATTGGCGTACGTGATTTATATGTAAGTTACAATAAAAGTGCAGGAAGGTCATTTAATGTATCGTTGCGCTGATCTGTTTGATTTTTATGCTCGAAGATCTTGGAGCATATAGTTTTTGCTATGTCCGTCCGTCTGTCTGTTTGTCCGCAAAAACAGTTGCCTTGTCCATAATTTTTGATTGATTTAACCTTTGGATTTCATATTTTGCTTGTGTATTCCTTGTGACAAACATGTAATCTCACCTTTGTTACCAACATATTTGATCTTTTGACCTTTTGCATAATTTTATCAAAATTTCACCTTGGCCATGCCTTTTGAACGTTTGGTGATAGGGCTTTAATCTTCATGTATTCCTTGTAATAAGTCCTTCCCTTTGGTACAAATATTTTCGACCTTTTGACCTTGACCTATCTTTAAAAAAAATTAACCTTTTCCATAAGTTTTGAATGGTTGGTTCTAAGGCTTTCATATTTCATATGTTTATTCTTGGGTGCCAACAATTTTGACCTTTTTACCTTGTTCTAAAAGTTTCGTTTACTTTTAAAAAACTTAAACGTTGACCATAACTTTTGAATGATTTGTGTTATGCCTTTCATATTTCACATGGGTTTTCTTTTGATAACAACAATTTTGACCTTTTTAACTTTACCTTTGAGATCGACCTACTTTGAAAAAAAACGGTAACATTGACCATAATTTCGGAATCGTTGCTGTAACAGCTTTCATATTTCACATGTGTAGTCCTTGTGACAAGATCTTTATTTGGGTAACCAAATTTTTTTTATCTCTTTGCCTTGACCTTGGAGTTTGACTTGTGAGCTGTCATACGGGATCATAAAGTATGACAATATCAGTGTTTCACAAAAATATCTTGTTAATTTAGCTATGTGTTTAGATGTTTAAATTTTTTTTTAATTCTCAAAACGTTAACGTTTGAATGCAGGATCCACCCATCATATGATGCTAGCTTAATAAAATTGAAAAATTTGTACAATTCTTTAAAAAAAACCTTTATAATTTACTTTATAATTTATTTTTCTTTATTTATTCTTAAAAACTCTTGTGGTTCCACTCAGTCTATTTGATTTTTAAAGCGAATTAAAATTAAAGAGATAGATTGAAGTTTTAACATTGCCTATAGTAATGCATGTAAATTAGAGATTACGTCCTAGTCTTTAGTTTTTCCTGTCTTAATATTCTTTCTGGTAAAAGAGTGAGGCCTTTAACTTCCATAAATTTAAATCCAGTTTGCATGATCATAAATTGTGCATTGTAATCATTAAATCCACTTTGTTTATATACATGTAATTTTTTACAATTTCTTAAGTCCTGTATTTACACAGAAAAAAAAACCCTTGCTATTCAGGGAAGATGAGTTTCAACGTGCAAATAAATCAGTTTGTATTCGACATAAATAATAAGTAAATTGGTCAGAATAAGTCTTAACTAAGGCTACATACAGTCTAAATATTAAGATTATCCAATGAAACCGATCAGGAAGCTTAATTCACAATAGGTATTAATTTGTGATTGTTTGTGATTGTTAATAGAGAGAGACAGAGGGAGAGAGATAGATGATTGGAGTTGCGTTATAAATAAGATCTCTAACGCAAGTTTTGTCCTTCACAGGATCACTAACTTTCACTACCATTTTTTCCTAAAACCTTAGTCAGTCCACACAGTGCATCTTCTGTTTATGGTGGTAAATGCTCAGACTAACCCGCAAAAGCAATTACACCATGTTATTCCCTTCACTGTGAATATTCTATGTCCATTGTTGTTTTTTGACATACCATTTTTGAAAACCTAGGTATTTTTTTCCAAAAAGGGCAAATATGAGAAGTAGAATTATTTTAATGAATAGATTAAGACGAAAGATGTATTATTTGAACCAGAGGTAAAACACACTTTATACGAGTTCAAATTTAACACCTGGAAAAATACTGGCATTAAATTTCAATCAGCCACTGGTTTCAGGAAATCATTTTACGTTTTCAACGAAACAATGAAACAATCCGAAAGATATTGTTTCTTTGAAAAAGTAAATCTTGAATTCCTAGAAATTAGTTCTCTAGTGGCTGTTTTTAAAATAGATGGTGTAAATATTGGATGGTCTCACAATTCTCTACCTTAACTGTTAATAAATTCAAAGAATTATTATTGTTGTGAAGAATCAAAATAAGATGATCTATTAATATACACGCATTTATTTACATACATACTTAAAATGAGCAATGCACAAAGTCAAGATTTAAAAATGATTTAAATCATTCTATTCTGGTCATAGCATGTCTTATATACGTTTACAAAAGCTTTATGCTCGTAGAGAATAGTCAATTGAATTATGAATTTAAAAAACAAAAGATCCCTGTATTTTACTGGGACAATACCTTTGTACCTATGATTCCAGAATTTATATCTATTTCAAGTATTTCAAAACTTTTCCAGTATACTTTTATATACAGTAAATACATCGTCCTATTTAGAGGTATATGTATTATGATTCCCAGTATTCTATTGACGCATGCAGTGTGTAAAATAAAGAGATATAACAATAAAGTAGATTAATTTTTCTAAGGTTATGTAAACGTTTATTATATTTCTACGCAATTGTATCACAAATTACTTCCAAGAATCTTTTAAAAGCATCGTGAATAAAACTAAAACACGTTACAAGCGAGGTAATGTTACATGTATCTACAATCTCTGAAAATAAAATTATTTCAGCGATTTCAAATGGAGGAAATTTAAGGGGTTTTTCATGATTATTTGATATACTTATATTAAATTTAGAGGAAATTGAATCTACATATATCTGGGTTCACATTTGACCAAAAGTACCTCTGCTGCTCTTGATTTATATATAATAGTATACAGTATATTTAATGTGATTCAACCCTGATCTTCAATTGTGGCCTTAAACTATCAAAGGCATACATCTAAAATCTCTTACCATGAAGTTCTTTATATATTCACTGTTTACACTTAGTAACATTGCTGTTCTCGATGACTTTAAAGATTTGTTGTTCTGTGCATTCTGTGTTAATAAACCTGGAATGCTTGTGTGGCCCTACCCTGGCTTCAGTCATGGTAATATAAAGAACTTAAAATCTACCCTTAATTGTGCTCCGAGATCATGAAACAAACTTAGACTTAAGTCTGTTTTAAATTCTATAGAATGTTTATTAATTGTCCGCTGAATCCCTTAATTTACCGATAACAAAAGTGTAATGATGTAACGTTGAATAATTTTATTTTGGACTGTTTGATTTCAACATAATTTCAGAGCAATATATAGATTTTGACTTAAGATGTTTCATGATCCCGGGGCCAGATGATTTCACATGGTTTCATGCTATTCCTAATCTAATCCCTGTTGAAGAGGACACAGCACTTCAATAATATCTTAGCTAATGAGAGAGAGAGAGAGAGAGAGAGAGAGCTTGTTGAAACTGCATTTAGCTTATATTTACATAGATTTTTTTCCATTTATCTACATTTAAATCTGTCAGAAAATTTAATTTCAGGGGACGTGTTGCCAGCGTAATTAAAATAGGGAGTCTTTGTTGAAAAGTTGAGTCTCTTACGCTTGAAGGTATTTCGATTCCTAGAGAGATCTCAAAATTCAGTATGTAATACTGAGTATTAAACTATAATCATCAAGTTGTGTTTTAAGATTAAAGTACATTAAAATCTCTTTATTATATGCAAGGCAGTATGACAAAAGCTTCAGAATACAATTAAAATAATGCTGCATTTTCTTTAATTTCACAAATAAATATCACATTTGAGTATGTCTAGAAACATTAATAACATATATAATGTGAATAAAAATGTTTAAGTTAACTAAACATGTTTTAAAAGAAACACGGAGAAAACGCTGAATATATTGTCTACTTCCAGGCAGCAGGAAGTTCATTGGAACCTTCAGCGCTCTGGGCTGTTCCTCTGGCGTTTTTATCCTTGATGTTTCCGTCTTTGTCCAGAATGACCAATGTGGGAATTCCCTGTACACCGTATTTTTCTGCTAAAGCTTTCTGTTGTGCAATAAAAAATACAATAATGGTAATTAAAAAAATTATATAGAGAGAATATTTCGAATATTTCATACTAAAATTCATATAATGTATCATATCGGCCCGAGGTGCCCCGTATCAATTCGAAAGGGCGGGTATTAGGTTCTAGGGCTGATAAGACATCATATGGATTTCAGTATGCAGTATTCTACATTTATCATCTAAATGTAATTAAAATATCTGGATATTTGAGTTAATATTTTTGGTTTGTTTGTTTGTTTTTGTGTGTGTGCGTGTGTTTTGTTTTTAATTTTTTTTTTTTAATTTTTGGTTGTTGTTTTTATATTTTTAACCCTTTTAAGAATGTTTGGTACATTTGTAGGAGTATGACCCACATCTTAGAAAAAGAAAGTCAATTATAGGCTATAAAGTTGAAAACGTAAGTCGATAAATTTCAATTTTTCCACAAAAATTGGATAACATATGTTTTAAATAAAAAGTTAAGGTTTGACATTCCTCTGATCACTTCTAGAAAATTTTGCTTCGATGTTAATGCGTTTGCAACCATAAAAAGCATTAAGAATGCATGCAATTTTAGCATACGTAGTGGAAAAATATGACAGAAATGTATTTTTAACTTGACAATTCTATAAAGGATACCTTCAAAAGCTTTTCATCCTATTAAGAGTTATCTCCATTTCACAAGGTTAATGAACCTTTATTAAATTTAGTAACTTTTTCAAATTGAAATGCATATTTGCACGGCAGTTTAGTACATATATGTGATATGCGTTTCTGGACCGGTTGATGTTACTATTGTGTCGCCCGCAGAGCGGAGCGACACTTAGGGATCACTTTACTCGGCGTCTATCTGTCTGTCTGTCCGTCTGTCACACTAATATCTCGAGAACTGTAAGAGGTATGGATTTGATATTTTGCACATATATTGCTTGGCACTATAGCTTTTGTAAATTACCATGGTGACCGACCTTGTGACCCTTGATCTTGACCCTTGACTTACTTTTCAAAATAGTTCGTAGTATCGATATACAGCATATTTTTTTTTTACTTGTCTATGTTATGTGCACTTTTCGTTGTAAAACATTATGATAAATACCAGTGTTACAATTCACTTGACCTCGTCCTTTGACTTGCTTTTCAAAATATACCTAAGACAGTTTAAATTTAAATTTATGTCTTTTGAATTTTGAGAGGCAGGGTTTTGAATATTATTAATTAAAAGCATTAATACATGTTTATGAGCTCATGACACTGTACTTTGAAACTGTATGATATTCAGGTACCACAAAAACTGCTGTGAAAATACATCGGGATGGGTATTCCACAAAGGATCGTGTAGACTGACAATTGCAGTAAAAACAGACTGAAATCTCTTTTGGAGAATTGCTGGAAACATGTTTTGATAAAATGATATTTAATTATTTCTAATAATTTCAATTTTATATCATTTGAGGATTGAGAACCATATTTTCTTTGATTCTATCGCAGTCATATACTATCCATGCTTTTTTTTTCCTTGCAGGCAGATGCATTACTATCATGCTAGTAGTAAATAAATAGCTGACCTCTTATATATATATATATATATATATATATATATATATATATATATATATATATATATATATATATATATATATATATATATATATATATATATATATATATATATTACATTTTTAATGAAGCTACAAAGCAGGCGACGCAATCGTTCCTTGGGACACTCTAGTTTTTATACTCTGAAACACCCATTAAAATATTTGGCTGCCGAGTTGGATACTTTCGCTGACTATTATCCATCAAGGATACAAGTAAACTGTAGGTAATAAAAAAGTTGATTATCAATTAATGTGCACACATATACAGTACATGTTTTGATACTTGCCTTTGTATCACCTTGATCGAATGGAAGGGCATGCCACGGCATCTCACTGTAGTAATTTGTGAAGCTCTCTTGGTCCCGGTCAGAGCTGACGAAGATAATCTCAATACTTTGACCATTGGCCTTTAGATCTTTATAAAACTGAGCCAGTTTGGGTGTGAAACCGCGACAGGGAGGGCACCAGTGCGCGGAGAAATACAGACCTGGAATATATACAATATACAATACAGGATATTGTATCAATTTCCTTTGCAAGGATGTCTGACTTATATTTGTTAAATATATCTTACGCATATTGATGCATAATATATTACAATGTAATAAATCACGGGATGTGTGAATATTCTTTAAAAATAAAGTATTTTCATATGAAATGTTGTACTTTAAGGATTGCTCTAACATTCCTTGACCATAAAACCAAATTTATCGCTTGTATTGTGCTTTTGTATTTGTCTAAAGTTAAAGACACACAATAAGAAAATTAGGAGTAGTAAAACATTTTTGACTATAGCTTTGGAGAAAAAAGAAGAAACATGAATGGTTCTATTGCAGTACATATGTACTCTCGCATATATAATAAAATTTTAACCTTCACTCTCATATCCTGTGCAGAATCAAAAGATTTTTTTCTACATATGTGATTTAGAATAAATATCTCGAAATTTTCATTGAAGGAAAAAATTGCAAGCGATCATTAAAGGAGAAATGCTTGTCATTGCAACTTTACAAAATGCAAGTTTGATCCTGCGTGTCTCCGCGACTTCGTAAAATGTTGAAAAAGAAATTCATTGTTCATTTTCCAGTGTTCTTTACAATGCACTGAAATTAGAGAAGCATAACATTTAAAGAATGATTTCAACTAATTCAGATCAATATACTTTTACAGGAGACTTAGTTGCCAATAGGCCACAATGCTCACCTGAGTCACTACTCTCTCTCTCTCTCTCTCTGACAAAAGGAGGTAACCCATTCTTGATTATTGATAGCTCACCTTTTTCTTCAGGTTTCCTATTTATAGCTTAAACGTTGTGTTGTGTTTTATTTGTCTGCTGGGCCCATTATCAGAACGAAATTAAACTGTCCTTACAAAAGAATCTAAAAGTGCTTGCATATAAATATGAACATTTTCCCTTTCTTCAATGCATATATTCCATATTAAATTTTGAATCTCTAATTTGTCCCCATCCTCTGGCCAAGGGGGCTCGGGTTATGATTTGAATAAATTTGAGTCTACGTTACATGAATTTTAAGAGATTTATGGGAATCTTTTTCTGACTTTATCATCTTTGAACAAAAGGCTTAAAATGGCTTTGCTTTAAGGACTCTCTATACACTAGAGGAAAATGAGAAAATTATAGTGTGTAAAGGTGTAAGTATTGAGCTTATCTATCATATTTTCAACATAGGGTGCCTTGCATTTACCCCCAGGAAAAATGTTCAAAGACAATGAAGTACTGATGAACATAAATCACTGTGTTTACTTCAGTGGGCAAAATATCTGCAAATGAAGTGTTTTATCTATTCATTTGGCCTAATAAAGTGTTATGAATGCTTGATTTGATCACAAATTAAGTAAAAAATTGTACATTTCAATTTATTTTATTCTTGATCAAAGGGCAGATCACTCTATTTGCATAAAAATACCACAAAATCAGAACTCTCTAGTGTGTAGTGTACATGTATAGAGGGCTCTTAACAAGGATTTCCTTTGCTTAAACAAGGATGCAGCCTTTTATTGGAAATTGAAACCTTTGCATAGAAACCATCTTTGCAAACCTCGGGCAAAATGCACAATCCAATCCCATCCTGGGGAGAAAGCTACATGTAGATATATATACCTCTGGACCGTGCCTTAAGACGATGAGTAAAGATGACTCCGGAGAAGTTTCGTTAAGATTTGAAAGGAAATCGAAAATGAGAATGTCATCAGACAAACAGACGGATGACAGGCACATTTTTAATTTAAGATATAACAAACCTCACCTGAGCTATCAGCTCAGGTGAGCTATCAAAGCTGCAATTGAATGACTAAAAATTACCCTTTGGACACTCTACTAGCATACTCTTAGTAGAACGCGTTTATAAAGGGGATTATGTTTGCAAGTATTTGTAAATCCGTTTTCACACGAGGCCTTGACATGCAGGTAATTATATTCGCCACGGTGTTTTTAAACAATCTGACATGACACGGGCTTATTCACTATAAGCTTACCTTTGACATGTTTGGAGTCAGAATTCTTATTTTAATTCATTTTTAAAAGATCTCCATAAAAGTTTATCCCTTGCCCACCTACTTACATGTAACCTCCACTAATGATCTAGAGCAAAACGGAATTCGATGTCATTAAGATGCTTGCTTATCAATATAGCGATGCAATCCTGGATTAAAGAAAGTTTCGTAATTTTTTTTCTGTTTCTCATCTCCCCCGTGGCCCCACTCACATGAGCAGTTTAACCTCGAAAATAACAAATTGAAATTGTATGATGATGCCTCTATAAATTTTTTAGTATACCTTTCGTATACATGGAGATAAATGATTACAAACTTCCCAATATTTACTTCATTTGTTTTTTTGTTTTTTTTAAGATGTTTAATTTATGGAGTCAAGACTTTATAACTTCCAGGAATTTAATCACTTTATACAATATATTAAATACACGGAAAATCAAATCAAGGAAATAATTTTACAGAAAGTAATCTTGCAGTTCAGTAACAGTGAAAATGTTGTACAGTAAGATGAGGCAGTGTACACTTGTGGCTGAATTTGAATTGCTGTTATATCAACCGACTTCCTTGATATAAGGACAGTGAAGTACAGACTCGGTAACAGTTCTTATTAAAGTACATCAAATTTGCGCAATGCAATTTTAATCTTCATCAGGCCCGTAGGAAGCAATTTCACTTTGAGGGGGCACAATCATACATTTTCAGTTGAGGGGGCACTATCGACTCCAAAATTGCTTGACAAGCAAAAAAAAAAAAAAAAAAAGGTCATCAGACGTTATTAATGAGGGGGCACAAGCATGTAGTAGCTATGTTTTCTAGAGTATTCTATATATCGGCAAAATTATTGGGGGGGGGGGCACGCCCCCCCCGTGCCCCCCCCCCCCGGTTCCTACGGCCATGTTCATCATATATGTCAGGATCGAATAGGTTAGATTACTACACTCTTGCCCTGTGTTAACGCGAATTATATCGATCTTGTACATCTAATTGATTTGAGCATCCATGACAACAACATAATGAAGATCATTAACAATTTATAGTGACCGTTTACTCGTCATAGGATTGGTATCCACGTATTGTAAACAAACCTGTTTGAGTTCTACATACATGTAAATATTTGACCAAAAGTTCATGGTCAATCGGTTGCACGCTGTCAAATGAGATTATCTCATTTAGCCGGTAAAGTTACTTAATGCACAATACATATAAACCTGTGATTGTTGAGAGAGAGAGAGAGAGAGATGCAGTTTCAGTTGGATTTACATATGCAATATATAACATGCAGCTGCTTCCTACATTAAGTTCTCTTACCTACACAGGTTTTCCCACTCACGAGATCACTAACTTTAACCATGCCATCTTTCCCCAGAACCTCGGTCATTCCACACAGTGCGGCGTCCATGTTTAATGTATTAAATGCTCAAACTGATCTGGATAAGCAATTTCAGTGTATATCTACCTTCGCTGTGGAAATTCCCCAGTAACTATTTATGGTCGAATATACGTTGCTATAAATAAACGAAGTAAAAGGGGCCACGAAGGGATAAATTACCCGTCTGGTTTTCCGTCATTAATCAAAATAGAAAATTGACTATTAACTAAACTGATTCCCCGATTAATACATATTAATAAAAATGCGTCATTCTATATAAATGATAATGATGATTTGCAAGTTATATATAAAATTAAAACTGCAGCCTTGGGTATGTTGATACCGGTATTTAAAAAAAAAAACCTTAGAAAGTGGGTCGATATATCTGATATACGTACTACTTAGTCGGTACATTGTTGAGCAGAGGCGTTAGAGGATTTACAATTTAGATATTTGAAAAATATACTATTTCCAATTTGATTGCAACAAAGTGACCTATAACTATACAGTATATGCACCCAATTTATCATGAAAATGTAACAAATTATTTATTAATAAGATTAAAAGCAGAGGACTAGCTCAGGAGGTTTTACCTCAAATATTGTATGTTGTTGACCTAAATAAATTTTAATTTAAAGTTTTAAAAACAACAATTACATCAATATGTTGTAAATTTTGGAAATATTTATCAATGATACAATTTTTAATATTGTACTGTAGTAAATATCGTCCCTCAAGCGCCTAAACCCTCTGCTCGATCTATATAGTTTTAATTAATCGACTTTAACAGTTGTATATACATGTAACATTCGGAATTTGTTGACATTTTGCAAGATTTAATTTTTTTTAAAAAAGATCGCAAGACATAAAGGTTACTTTCTTATGATTATCTTCCCATGGATTGGTCAACTTAATCATGTGTCAGCAGAATTCTGCGAATTATGACGACGTGCATTCCATTAAAAATAGCAAGACTTACAGGTATTCATGCGTTTAATTATGATAAAAACTATTTTGCAATCTCGTACATAATTTCGAAATGTACATAGAGTAAAAAAGTTTTCGTCTTGTTTAAATAGATCATAAAGAAAGCGAATTTTCTTCGAGATGACAATGCTTTTAACTTTCTCCTTTGTTACAACACGCGAAATAACACGTACGTGGATTTAAAGAATGCAAGTATTTTTTCCAAGAAAGGAAGATGAAAAATAATTTGATATAAAGAAAACAAAAAATAAGCAATTCAGCCAAGGAGTAGCATTTTACGACGCAGAACTATTATTATAGAATTTCTTTCGATTTATCATAAGAGTTACAGTAAATCAATCTGAATTTTAAATTAATCTGAATTCTCCGAAACCCTGTAGTCAATTAATTGTAGTACTGTATTTCTTATTCTCACATGTATGTAATTTTAAACTGTGGGACTCTTTGTGATCGAATACATATTTTTTCAATGTTATCTTTTATGTTTAATTTTTGTTTAATTAAGATTTTCCTTTCCCCATTTCACAACCACTATAGTATAAACTATAGGAATTAAGTAATTATTTTATCTGGACAATGTTCCGTTTTGCACAATTTTTTAAATACCTGAAATTTAAATGTGTGCCAAAAGGGAACAATCCATTTGCCACTGTATCATAAAGATACCCTTCCTTTGAGAGCCAACAGGAACCATATATAATGTAGTTCTAGCGATTACAATGATATGAAAAAGGAAAATTTTGACCGATACTTGCAATTGTTTTCACTAAAACTATGAAAGTGTGCTGCTAAAATAGAAGATAAAAGCTAAGCAGGACTTGAAACACTGTTTAAAAAATTATACTATGTTTATGTTTTTCTAACATGTAGGTTTAATTGAAATCAAACGAAATCTGTAAGGGAATGATTTCACATGAGATTTTTATTCAATATATTTTATTAAAATTAAAAGACGATAAATAGAATTATCCATCTCTGAGTTGTCTACAGGCTCCGAGGCCATAAAATGTAGATGAGCTCACTTTGATCTCAGTCTCACTTTTCCAATATATATTCTTTTTGTGAAAGTGAGACAGATCAAAAGTGAGCTCATCTAAGTTTTATGGCCTCTAAGCCTGATGTGCCACATTTTATCAAAATCAGACCAAAACTGTATATGAAGTGGCATTTTGAACTGGAAACAAATTTTACAGATGGACAAATAGACGGAGGACGACGGTTCTTTATTCAATTTTTCTTACTTTGTATTTAATCATGAAAACAACATTGTTTTTCAACTCGTTTTCAAATTTCTTAACAGGAAGAAAACAACGAGAAAATTTAGTGCCTTACTCTCATGTTGAGAAATGCATGTAACATAGAAGGTCAGTGATTTTTACTTGTATAGTCAATCAGATGTTCATTGATCTATTTTAAAACTCTTCGAATGAAATATGGAAATAACTGACAGTATTCAAGCTCAAAGTTCATTTAAACAATACAAATCAGAAGCAGAGCAAACACGGACCTTCAAAAACCACAGAGATCAGGTGCCATGGAGGAATGAGCATCCCCTGCCGACCGGTCACACCCGCCGTGTGCTCTTCATCATGATCGGGGAAAACGGCAGCATTTGACTTAATGATAGGTTGTATTTGCTGACAAGGTCATTGTATCGCCCATAAAACTTACAAAATGATGACTTCAAACGAGACTGTGGATTTCCTTGTTTCATCAACTTGTTTTTCAAAAGCTTGCCTCGTTTTAGAAATTGTTCATTCGAAGAGCATGCTCTTGCGTATCGAATCAACTGGGAGACAAACTCCATGCAGGTGATAAGGATATATTGCTACATAAGTAAGGGAACTTGACGATTGAAGAATTGAAGTCATCACGTTTATCAAAAGATTTGTTGTTAGGTTATCATTAAAGTCTTTTTCTAGTAAAATATCCAAATATATTACAGATGTGTCAGACTCTGTGGTATTTTTTATTTCAGTTTCACTGGGACATATCGTGTCAACATATGAATGGAAGTAACTATTGTTAATTGATAATACGTCGTCAAAATATCTAAATGTCGAGTTGAAGGCCGCAGCATTTAGAAGTTGTTTTTTTTTCAAAAATAAATTCTGCTTCATATGAATACAAAATAGGCCTACTAATAAGCGGGCGAAATTGGTATCCATGGGAATTCCAACAGATTGTTGGAAGATTTGATCTCCAAAAACTACATATTGTGAATCAGAAACTCAAGCATCTTTTTAACATCACCTTCAGAGTACTTGTGTGTACAATGAAAATGTTTTTAACAAAATAATTTTGCAAATGACCAATGACAAGGCAAGTGTATTTACGTGTTTCATTTTATTGAAAAAGCAGCTGTCTATGATGTCAAAAGAAGGCAATTAATCGTGTTGTTTATATATACATTTTTAACTCTTGCCGACGTAGAAAATGTATAACATAACTTCAAGAATTAATTTTATAATGATGAATAAATGAAAATCAAACAGTGACCTTTATTTAAGAAATAAGGTATCATTTTTAAACATCTATCGGGATATAAATACGGGTTGGTCACGAGATCAAATTCCATAAAGCCCGAAGGGCTTTATGGTAAATTTGATCTCGTACCAACCCGTATTTATATCCCAATAGATGTTTTAAAATGATACCTTATTACTTATATTTACATTTGTGATTGATTTATTCATTTTATTTATTAGCCTGATTATAACCTTTAACGCGTGAAATGTTTTATTTTTTCAAACTCAACGGCACAAGTTTGATCTATTGATTGCGCGTCGACCTTTTATGACGTCGCTGAGAAATTACGTCGAACGTTTATGACGCGAGGAACCCGTGTTTATACGGATATAGATACACATTGCTTTTAATAGTGTTATATAAAGGAAAACATTTGCAAATGTAAATATATACAAGTAAAATTTAAAAAAAGATTAAGCTTTGGATATGTACTATAAAATTCGTTCCTATTAATCTTATTTTAACATACATGTATATAATTTATAATAGTTTAGGGTCCAAACTGTCATTAGCCGAAGTGTCAGGAAACCGAAACGTATCGGAATGCTTGGCAAAACGTAGTTTTAATGTTTTAAGTGTGTCTTAAAAAGGCCTCCCTGGTTACCATGCAGCTTCTCGTCGACGACTTAACATGTGTCTCATTGAAGTAAAAGGTAGAGATACACTGGAGGTTTGGTAACTTAATGAATGCTAAATCTTTGAGGGAAAGATTAAACAGTTAAAAGAAGAAAATGAGTAATCTTCACCTTTCTTTGCCTGTTCTCTTCATGTCATGTGGCATATTAATTGATGATGTTTTGCATTAAAAAAGTTCCATCTTATTTTTTTCCTATTTCCTCGTGTTAGGTTTTGCATCTTCTGGCAGGTGTTTCATTCTATCTATTTTGATTCCTGCCAAATTCATTATTTTCCTTATTTATCTTAAGCACTTGAACGTTGGATTTTTTTTTATTTTGTTTGCAGGCTTCAAAGACATTCATCAGGATTAGAGTAACAAAAGAACCTCGTACAACCTAGTCCTCTTCATCTCTTGGTTCTATTTCTAGTAACACGGACTCAAATCTTATGAAGTTTTGCCTGATATTTCCAATCCTGTAATTTTCTCCCTCAGTAGAGTAATACACACGATGCTTTGGTAAATATAGATCAGGGTTGTGTTCAAGAGCGTAGCAGCTACGAAGCCTCTACCTACGTAAAGCTATGATGAAATATGGAGATAACGAACAGTAATCAAGTTCAAAAGTCCATTGAAACAATATAAATTTGGAGGAGAACAAACACAGACCTTTAAAAACATCAGAGGTGGGATCGAGTGCCATGGAGGAGTAAGCATCCCCTGCCGACAGGTCACACCTGCCGGTCAAACGGAAAAATCTGTAGACAATGAAGTTTGTGAATAATGGCCTAACAATTAGTATGATTAACGTTAGTCAACATTCGACTAAATGATAGATTGTATTTCTGACAAGGTCATTGTATCGACAATAGAAGTTGCGAAATGTACACTCTAAACTGGACTGTTGATATCTTTGTTTCATCAACTTGTTTACCTCCTTTTAGAAATTGCTCCTGTACAAAGCATGCTCTTGCGTATCGAATCAAATGGGAGACATAAACTCTATATGTTTATCATAAAGTTTGGTTACCATTAAAGTCTTTTTCTAGTAATATATCCAAATATGAAACAGATGTGTCAGACTCTGTGGTATTTTTTATTTCAATATAATTGGGATATATCGAGTCGACACATGAATGGACAGGCGCGGATCCAGGAATTGAAGTTAGGAGGGGGCGCAAAAAGTAGGCAGGGGGTCTGGGGCCGCCTGGAAGCCCCCAGTGGGTCCGGGGCGAAGGCCTGGTGGGGGCCCAGGGAGCGAAGCCCCCAGAAGCTCCTGGATTCTAGAGATTTTGTAGGGTAAAAATGAGGTGTCTATCGAGTAGACATTTTTACATTTTCTCGACGAAACTGTGATTTATGCTAACTTTGACAGTTTTAGGGGGGAGGGGGGGGCGCCAAGTGCGCCCCCTTTAAATCCGCTACTGATGGAAGTACGCGTAACTATTGTTAATTGATAATACATCGTCGATATATCTATATGTCAACTTGTGTTTTCTTCTTATGTAGAAGTTGTTGAATAAATTCTGCTTCATATAAATACAAAAAGAAGTTTGCTAAAAACGGGGCGCATTGGTACACATGAGAATTCCAAAAGATTGTTGGAAGACTTGATCTCCAAAAACTACATACATGTAGATATTGTCAATCAGAAACTTATGCAACTTTTTAATATCAATTTCAGAGTACTTGTGTGTATAATGAGAATGTTTTTTTTTAACAAAATAATTTTGCAAATGACCAATGTCAAGGTTAGCAAATATAAGAGTTTTGTTTTTATTGAAAAAGCAGTTGTCTATGATGTCAAAAAGCCGGAACTTTAATTCATCGCGAGGAATGGTTGTATGAAGTGTTGAAAAGTCGTACGTTTTAATGTTATTGATTTTGGTAAAATTTTTTGATTTCAAATTTTCTCAAAGTTCCTTGGAGTTTTTAAGCATTCACGTCTGATTTACACCACTTCTCGAATATATTGTTGTACAGTACTCCCGAAGTTTTTCCTTAACTGCTGTTAATATTTTAGTGAGGAGTAAAGAAAGAGGCTTGGTAAAACATTTATTGGAACCCGCTTTGTATCTTTGTTTGTAAGGATTTTTATGTATACTGTAGTAATCCATTATAAGTATATGGTAGTTCAAATTCAGTTTGATTGTTGGGAATATTAAAAATATTTAAAACTGACATAGGTTTTTGAAAAATTTCCTCCTTAGAAAGGAAAATATGGGTATAAGTTGGATTACCACTTGCAGCATGAAATCCCAGCTCTTCTGAAATACAATTAAAATAATGAGCCTTTACAAACAAAGTCAATACTGTTACCTGCTTTGTCAGCTGGGACCAGTACATATTGTTCGTGTAATATACTAGTATGTAATTCTTTTTTTTTTACTTCTGAATTATTGAAGACAGAAGGATAGATGGTTTTCATATTGCCCTTCAGTCGTTTAAGAAGTGTCAAGGTATTCTTTTTCATGTTTGGCCCATCGATCCAGCCGCTATGTAGGGAGAGCCAGCATGAATAATTGATGCTACCAAATCCAACATGGCTTGCTTAGATACAACTTTGCAGCAAAGGTATTAACAAAAAGGGAAATTGTTTTCTACATCTAAGCAAAATTAAATGTAAATTTAAATATATTTTCGCTTGAAATAAAATTTTCTTGTTCCAAAAATAAGTTTTTACCGATAGTTTTTATTCGAAATCTAACACTCTGAGGCTATAGGCAAGCTGTCCGTTCAATTGAGATGGATATCTACCACCTAGCTGCTAGGTTAGCCGATACGTTCTTGAACGCAGCTCCGGTATTCCGTAGTGCTCCATGATGGTCATGAAGCATAAATAGTTCAAAATATTTATTGACCATCTGTGCTTAAATGCAACTTGTTATATTGAATAAGAAACTGCTACAGTTATAGAAACATAAAATATAAAGTGTGCACAATATTTTGCATTCTGCATATGATATTGTAAAACGCAGTCTTGAACCAAAAGGAAAAGTTACTAGGTAATTCTATTTTCTATTCTTAAATTCTTCGAATCGTTTCTTCGTGTTTACTTTGAATTCATTTCTGTTTTATACTCTGTTTTCAGCAATTCTTTTGAGTTGCGTGTAGCATTTGTGTCTTTGTACACCAATTTTATGTACGTGTATTGTGTACTGTACCTGTAATGCAGAGATAGATTTATCTACAGATAACTTTTCTATCACTGTTCATCGACAGTAAGTAATATTTACTTAACCTAACAGGTCAAGCGCTTATTGTGTACAAACTCTGCCACAGGTTACAAACTCTCGGACTTGCAACCTGGAATGCTGATAGACATTTCAAACGGTCAAACACAGTTAAGCGGTGTCTAGTGGGGTTAAATTTGTTACAATCATATTCTCAGACTAGTTTATCAATCTTATATGAGATTTAAAGGGGCCTAGACACAGTTGCATTGTTTACATTTAAAAATTCTATTTTTATTCAAAAAATAAAACCAGTTAAATGAATTAACTTGCATGAATATTCTTAGAGACATTCTTCTTTACATCACGTCAAACATCTGTTTTTGTAAACAGGGTACGAGCTCTGTTACTGTTAATGTTTACATTTTACCGGGTGTGTTCAATTTGTTGAACTTTGCACTGAGCACGGACAGGCAATAATGATAATGGTGAATTTGTTTTGCTGTCTCAAATTTCAACTATAAATTTTCTCGATTACAGTTTTAATATTAATTTTTCATTATTAAACAACAAAATTTCTACATTTCTTAAGTATTAAGGATAAAGTTTACTTCGTGAAAGTGCAAGGACTTGTGTCAATCAAACGCGTCCCGAAATCCGTAGTTTTAATAATTTTCAGATAAAAGAAGTTTCTGAATACGTTTTTATTATATTTCCGTGTAAAATGCTCTAGCAACATATAAATAATGATATTGTATAGAAATTTTGGAGAAAAAAACTTCAAATTTGTGTCTAAGCCCCTTTAAAGCGTGTTTATATAGCCTGTAAACAAGTGGACTATATAACACTTTACTGTTTAGTACCATATGGTATCCAGGCTACACTCAGAAAAAAAGACCCCCCCCCCCCGCGTTCTACGGGCCTGATACCTATATGTAAGGTGCTTTTAAGATTAGTGAAATTTGCAATCATGTCTGCACCTTTAAAATCCCACCATTCATCAATCCGACATGAGTTGTCATAAATTAAGGCACCGATCATTGCTGTACAGATTTTCCTCACTACCCTTTAGAAGAAAAAAAAGCGATGACAGAAAGTGGGGCAATTTATAGATAAAGTTTTAAACATTCTGTTCTGAATATCCTTCCTGTGAAAGAGACGTGCTGGTGCAATAAATGGGGGTGGGGGGTGGGGGGGTTATGTAAGCCCTCGAATATGATTTGATACTTCAGTGGATTTTATGTAATGCAATAATTAGACATTAGGTATCCATTTCTAGACATTAATTTATATAAGAATTTCGGCATATTAATTTCTTTATAATTATTTATTTATTTTTATTATTTTATTTTCTTTTATTTATTTATTTTATTATTTTATTTTATTTTATTTATTTATTTATTTATTTATTTATTTTTTGCAAAACGTTTAAGGTTGCCGAATGACACTGTAAGTGTAACAAAATAAGGTTTCGATTTAACGTACTAAACTATTTGAATATAAAAGTGGATCGAGAATTATGAGCATAAATGTATGAATGGGTCAACATTCAACAGAGTTATGCATAAAAAACACTGGATAGGAAACGTTGCCTATGTTGATAATTTATAAGAATGAAATGTCATATGTACAACACTTATATATCAAGTACCGTACTTTAATTCACAAAATATTACAATCTATAGTTCCATTATTCTCTTTCTACCGCCACGACCAATTTTGATTATTTTTCTCTCAAAGTTTTTTGTGCAGTTTTGATTTCTCACTTTATGCTTTTTTCCATTTTTCCGGAAGTGTAGAACCGGAAAAGGATTGGACGGTTCCTCTTCCTTCTTTGTCTAAAATGTTTCCTTGACTATCCATAATCACCAAGTACGGAATCCCACTTACACCATATTTCTTTGCTAAATTTTCCTGAAATATTCATAACACAGTATGATATACTACAACAACTTTCAATTATGGTTGAACATGTAACATGAAAAAAGTAAAAAATGTTGATGTATCCAATCCGGCATTGCTGTAGAGGACTGAAGAATATTGCCGACAAGTAACGCGGAAAACATTGTTTTCACAATACATGTATATACAAGATTTATAAAATTAAATGATATTCATATGAAACTATTCTACGACCCCCTTTAACAGATTTATAATATTTTTTTTATTTATTTTTTATTTTTTTTATTTCGAAAGCGATATGATATTTTAAGTTGATACAAAAGGCCTCTGAGCCACAACACTTACCTGAGTAACCTTGGCCTTGCTGTTCTTCAGAAACCAATATTTAAGTTTTTTCCCCTCTATAACCTCATGTAAAAAATTTAATCCGCTATCGCTCTATCAGTCTTCCTACGGGGGCTATGATTTGAACATGAATTAGCACTACCTGAGGATGCTTGCATATTTCAAAATATGTCGGACTAACTACATGTATAGCCATATTGTTCTTCAGAAGGGTTTTTAAAGATATTTTCCCATATATCCCCATATCAAATGTTGATCCCCTAATATTTCCATTTCTATTTGTTTTCTCTGTGATAACTCTTTGAAAGTTAGTCGAGTTGATTTCTTGATCATTCCACCGGAATGCAAATTTCGCCAAGCGAAAGGTCAGGAGCTTAGAAGGCCTAGTCTACATTTTTAAAATCTAAATTTACAATTTTATTTCACAATGAAATGGAAATATAAGGAATCACTGTCTAGTTAGTAGAGTATGCCAGGGACATCAACGATAGTTGGAAACGTGGGATAATTTATGCATAAAGGGCATGCAAATTATCCCACGTTTCCAACTATCGTTGATGCCCTGGCATACTCTTCTAACTAGACAGTGATTCCTTAATTGTGTACTTTTATAACAATGAATGGACCATGTTTTCATAAAAGTATAAATTTAAAAAGATGACGTCATATTACAAGACACCAGTATACAGCATTTCCCGAAATTATTCTGTGGACCTACGGTTATCGGCGTTGTGACTACACTGCTGGTATTGCATGGTTCGGTTCATATAAAGAAACGATAAACCGTCTATACATGGCAAAACTGTTCATCTTAAACTCAGTTTAACTTGAAATCTATTAAAGGTGCTTAGACACTGATTTGAAGTTTATATTTTCTCAAATTTTCTGTATAATATCACAACTTATATGTTGCTATTATAATAGCATTTCACACGAAAATAAAATTAAAAACTTATTTAATCTGGAAATTATTGAAACTACAAATTTCGGGAGGCGTTTGATTAACACGTCCTTGCACTTTCACAATTATTAACTCTATCCTTAATACTTAAGAAAAGGAGCAATTTTGTTGTGTATTAATGAATAATATTACATCTATAATCCAGAAATGTGCGAAAGCAAAACCCACTCACTTAAGTATTGTCAGCCCGTGCTCAGTGTAGTGTAGTTGTGTACAGAGTTTAACAGATTGAATACACCCGTGAAACGTAAACTGTTTTTGTCTCTCTGTTGTTGTTAATGTTTACGTTTCACCGGGTGTGCAAATTGTTACCACTGAGCACGGACTGACAATACTGGTGAGAGGATTTTGCTTTCTACATTTCTACTCTGGAATTTCTGCATTATAGTTTTAATATTTTTCATTAATAAACAACAAAATTGCTACTTTTCTAAAGTACTAAGGATAAAGTTAAAATTTGTGAAAGTGGAAGGATGTGCATGTCTATCAAACGCGTCCAGAAATTCGAAGTTTCATAACTTCCAGATAAAATAAGATTTTTATCAAATTTTCGTATGAAATGCTATAGCAACATATAAGTCATGAAATTATACAGAAAATTTGAGTAAATATAAACTTCAAATCTGTGTCTAAGCACCTTTAAGATAATTTTTTCGTGAGGATCACGTCACTAGAAGGTACGTCACTGCCGTGCCATAACTTATGTATTAAGTAATTTGCCATGTTGCCAGCGAAAAAGTTAATGTACTAAGTTTATTTTTTTTCAAATTTACTCACTCTTGCATCCTGATCATCAAAAGAAATAGCGTGCCAAGGCATTTCTCCATAGTAACCGTCAAAACTGGCCTGGTCACGATCATGGCTGACAAAGATAATTTCTATGGGTTGGTTATTTTCTTTCATACTTTTGTAGAACTCCGCCAGTTTTGGAGTAAATCCTCGACATGGCGGACACCAATGCGCCGAAAAATATAAACCTGTCGAGTAAATAATGCCAAAAACTGATTTTTGAAAAGCATGACAAATATCAAACAAATCATCCACGGGCTGATATGACATAGTGTGTAATATTCTCTATTTATTATACCTAATCATAATTATTCGATACAACACGTAATCTGATTGGTTCTAGACAGTTACTTGATAGGTCATTGCCCTCGGGGAATATGATTTTTTTTCGGGGGGGGGGATAGATCTTCAAATCTCCCTCACTATCATGCAATAAATTTATAATATGCAATGATTATGCAGCATAAAATGTTACAAAACCTTTAGTTGTTGCGTTAACCATTTGGCGAGAAATTATGTGTATATTTCGCCTAAATTAATCAAAAAGCTCGACAGGAATTAGGAACTTTTTTGCCATCAAACTTTTTTTTATTATTATTTTATCGAGATAAAGAATTCCTGTCACATCTGAAAGCCCGAGTACCAGCTCCCTCTTTTTAGAGAATAGTTCTATGGTGTGAATTTAGCATGGAAATTATTTTTTTTTTAATTTAAAGCCCCACCCAACCATCTCCCTACACAACTTTTTGTAACAGTATGGTCCAGCCAAAGATTTGTAGTATCAAAAGATCATAGGACAATGTCAAAACCAGTGATTTTTTTTAAAGTGCTTCATAGACAATTTTCAGATTGCCATCAGTTTTATACTTGATACAGAAATATTAAGTGCTAGGAGAAGATGGCTACATGAAATTTATGGAGATAACGAACAGTATTCAAGCTCAAAAGTGATAATACATTAAATGCTATTGTTTATGTAATTGCCACATGTAATGTATATTGTATAGCATATACTACACTTATCCTGTGCAAAGCTTATGTATAAATATTAATGTACATATTTTGTATACCTATGAGATGTAATGTCTCTGGTTCAAATAAAACAAACAAACAGACAAGAAGTCCATTAAATTATACAAATTTTGGAGCAGAGCAAACACGACCCTCTAAAACATCAGTGAGGTGGGATCAGGTGCCATGGAGGAGTGAGTATCCTTGTCATGATCGGGAAATAACGGAAAAATTCCGTCGACAATTCAGTGTGTAAATAATGGCCTAACAATTAGTATGAAAAACGTTAGTCAGCATGTAATACATATAATACTAATATCCTGGTCAAACACAGTTAAAATATTTGATAATATTATAAATACCACATCCATATCGAGAAACTGATTTCTTGGAATAGTACTAATGTTGAACCCATGTAAGGTGCCCTGATTATGCACAATGCCCTATGTGTTCCCTCTCAATACTGTTTTATGTCTGTTTTCATTGTGTCAGCTGGCAAGTTTTCTCGCCTGTTTAAGTGTTTGAAATTTTATTTCCGTAAATGTGTACTGGTTGTTTTAAGTACAATTCACTTTCAGTGTGGTCGTGTTTTAAGGAAGTTTAAATAATTAAATTGATCATACGGCTAAAAATATCCATAAGAATAAATGTTTTAATGGAACTTTGAACTCTTTTGGAGTGGGCAAAGTTCATTCTTTGTTATTGTTGGATTCTGAAAAAAAATAAATAAACATAGTCTACATGTGGATGATTCTAATAAAGTACATGTAATAAATTAATTTCTTGCTTTGGTGCTGTGTTATGATTTTGGTTCAAGGCCATACCTCATGATCATGGTTACTTAAGAACATTAAATCTTTGAAGCCTTAAAACAAACTGACTCCATTCTGTACAAAATAAAAGTTCGATTTTGAAAGTCTGCAATCGTATTCATGTGTACAGAAAAACATAATTTCTTGTCATTTATTTATTCTACGATTTATAAAATAAAATGCAAATTTCAAAAAGATTCCGGTCGTATTTCACGCTTAATATAGGTTATTCACAACATAAAATATGGGTCTAAACGAAAGTATTTGCGAATTCAACGAAGGTATTTGCAAATGCATGCATGTGCGTCTTCAAACGATTCTCTCTCTTACCCAAACATGCCAAAGGAAGTTTTTAGTAAGACTTTTTCTTGCATGTGTAAAATAAGTCACCGACTCCATTTTCCTCAATGTCATGTGCAACAACATTGTTTCAACACAGACTTAGGATTTACTTTTGTAAAAACAATTATTCATTCTATTTAATTGGTGATGACGGACTTTCAACGCATTTTTGTGTTTGAATTGGTCAGGTTACGAATTCACTTGGCACTCCAGTTTAGTTTCATATAATCATATTCAGAAAGCCTATTAAAACATACCTTACCTACACAGGTATTGTCTTTGATGACATCGCTGACACTGACCGGTCCGTTCTTCCCCTGGACCTCAGTGATCCCACTTAGAGCAGCCTCCATCACCCGGTCAGAAAGAGGATAGACTAATTAAGTGTCCTTGTTCGTTAGAATATATTCAAATCGATATATAGCCACGTCAAGGGGCGCACAAGGGATTCCAGTAATAATTTCAACAGGCCATGTACAATTACTTTTCAATGAGTTTTTATGTACCTCTTTATGCTAAATGAACACAGTCAAAATACCGGTAAATTAAGTACTCTGTCAGGGAAAGGCAAATTAACAATTTAAGTATAGGCTATATAGGTTTATTCAAAAGAAACAGGGAAAGTAACAAGAGGTCCAAGGGCCTTAACTGTCACCTGAGTATAATACTAACAACAATTTACAGAATCCATAGAGTATAAAATGAACTGAAAGGTGAAGCTTTGTTGCCCAAAAGCAAGAAAAATAGAGTGATCAGGATCAAAAAAGTAATTAGTCTACTGTTCATTAACAGTTCATAAATTAGGTTCTAATCTGTTCCCCATTTAACACTATCACCATACAGTAAGTTAACAAACTATCAGTGCTTCTTTACTATCTTAATTCTTACATTGGCCTTTCTTGGTCTCTGATGAAAATTTAATAAGACAAGTTATTTTTGTCTCATTTTTATTTATCTATTACTTACAAGTCTACCTGATCATTAAAACTATGAAAGTACTTTTTGTATTATACAATAAAAATTCTTGCATAATTCTCTTATTCTATTAACCTTTCAAGTACATTATTTACAGTGATTAACTATCAAAAGTAAATGGCAAAGGGGAATAACTCCTCTCAGTAGATTACAAATTAATAGAGCCCTAGCCAGGACCAGAACACTTGACCAAATGATCCAGATGTTAAAATATCTGGTAAAAATACCCTTCCTTATTAAAACTTTTACTCTTTTTGCCTCTGATATACCCAGGTGCAGAGAATATTTTTAAAGAAATAATGCATTTTTACTAAAGATTCACTATATTATCAATAGAGCCCCCCTCCCCCCCCCCCCCCTCCCCATCGAGAAACACCAGAACCTCTCACCCTGGGACCAGAAGTTTGCTCATCATAAGTAATCACTTTGTTTATCTGCTTAACACTAAGGAGCAGAAAGGATTATTTAATAGAATTAATGCATTTTCACTATATTACCAGCACATCTGACCCAGGGGTCATGCAATTCACTACTCTGGAAGAAGCACTCTTGCTCATCATAACTACACACTTAACTTCTTTGCTTTTTAACCAGAAGCAGAAAAGAATATTTTCAGAGAAATTTTGCTTTTTCACTATATAATCAATAGAGCCCCCCCCCCTCCTTTTTCACCAGAACCCTTGACCCTGGGGCCATGAAATTCACAATTTTGGAAGAGGCATCCTTGCTTATCATAACTATGTATTTTATTTGTTTAAATAATACCTAGGAGTAGAGAAGAAGATTTTCAAAGAAATAATGCACTTTCACTACATGTGTATATGATTTATATAGCCCCGCCCTAACACCAGAACGCCTGACCCTGGGGCTATAAATTTCACAATTTTGGTAGAGTCACTCTTGCTTATCATAACTATGTATTCAATTTGTTTAAATGATACCCAGGAGTAGAGAAGAAGATTTTCAAAGAAATAATGCACTTTCACTATATGATCTATATAGCCCCGCCCTAGCACCAGAACCCCTGACCCTGGGGCCATGAATTTTACAATTTTGGTAGAGGGCTCAATGCCTATTACAATCATGTCAACAGTTTGACTGCTTGATGTCCAGGAGTAAAGAAGAAGATTTTTAAAGATTGCATTAATTTTGGTGGTTTTGGCCCGATCCCTCAGGCCCCGGGGGGGGGGGGGGCAGGGACCATGAAATTCACAATTTTTGTCCCCCTTCACCCATAGATGCTATATATGCCAAAATTGGTTGAAATTGGTTGAGCAGTTTCAGAGAAGAAGCTGAAAATGTTTAAATGTTAATGCACGACGGACGACGCACGACGACGGACAAAAACGGATAACAATAGGTCACCTGAGTTACTCAGGTGACCTAAAAATTATTAAAAAAAAAATTAAAAAAATTATAAAATCGATCCGATATATAACCCGCTCCGTACTCCGTATATATATATATATATATATATATATATATATATATATATATATATATATATATATATATATATATATATATATATATATATATATATATATATATATAAAAACCCAAAACATAACCTTAATGTAATCTTTTATACCTTTTATATATTATTTGCAAATGTGTCATAGAAAAAAGTTTTATTAAAAAAAGTCGAAGAATTTTTGGTGTACGGAGGGTAATTATAGCCACTAACCAAAGAGTTAGGGATCTTACATAATTTATAATTTTATATATTTTAATATTACAAGATTTACATTTCTATTTTATACTTTAGTTTTCTATTTCATTCATTCTAATATTTAATTGATACAAAGATGCCATATATTTAAAAGTTAAGCAGATGGCTTGTAAGTTGTATATATGTCTAGTACATTGTTATCTAGTCTTTGAAGTCAATTTAGTTAATCCCCTGTGCAATTATCTTTTGTTACCCTGAAGACAGTATAGGTGTCACAGTAATTAACACTTTACCTTTCCAGATCGCTCTATTGTAAAGATGTCAAACAATCCTGAGTAAATTAAATAATCACTCAATTCCCCTTTAGGCAAGGATTATATTTTATCTAATGAACAAAGAGATAATCTCGGTAGTAGTAGTGTGGCATCAAGAGTAGTCAGTTGAGAAGTAAGAGAGTAAGGAGATAGGGCTAGAGCAGGCAGCTAGCAGACCCAGTATAGAGATATGTATATATAATGAACATATATCCTCAATAAAGACTGGAAAAAGGATTTATCTTATATGTCTTAATCCTTGACAATTCCATGTCAAGGACAGTAACCATGTCTAATGGTTACTGAGTGACCGAGTGTTTAGGCCAGGTGTGCACGTGTGCGCAGTAGGGTGCACTACTCATTCCAAGCGGACCCCTACCCTCCCCTGTCGGCGGTCACATAATCCTACTTTAGAGTGCAGATTCGGGTGGGGGGTGGGGTTGCTATTAGAGAAATCCAACTCTACAACACTGGCATACAGTAAGCTGTATGCAATGGTTATATATAAGCCAGAAACGGTTCATTATGCCAGATGCTATATACTGTCCGGAGCGCGTTTGACAAACTAAATGCATTGTTTTGAAGAGCAAGGGTGTCTCTTCCAAAAGTGTAAAATTCATCGCTTTTGTGTCAGGTGTTATGGCGGGGCTTATATTGATCATGAGGTGAAAATGCATCAATTCTTTGGAATCTTCTTCTCTGCACCTGGATATTTAGCAAACAAAATGCATGATTTTGATAAGGACGATCGAGTGCCTCTTCCAAAATGTAAAATTTAAGGCCTTGAGGGATTCTTTTCTTAGTTTGGGACTCAATTGACCATGAAGTGAAAATACATGAATTCTTTGAAAATCATCTCATGATTTTGGGCATACATGTATGAGAGGCAAAGAGAGTCTAAAGTTGTAATGATGAAGGTTGTTTTTACCAGACTTGTGAAATTCTTGACCACTGTACAGGGCACAATTTATTATGTTATATATTATTATTATATAATACTTATATTATTTTTAGTGGTCAGGTACACTTTCAAATAATAGATAAATAAAAATGATTTAATGTTACTCAATTTGATTTGAGCATTTTAATTTTTATTATAATCAGCATATCAGCAAAATTAATATTATTCACAATCTGATTAAAATCAGATCTTTTGATCCGCTCACATCGCTACACTGTGTAGCAATCTATGCGATCGGATCAAAGGATCTGATTTTAATCAGATTGTATTATTTGAAGACCAAGAGAGTCAATGTTTTAGGGATTGCACTTGGTTTACTATTTGTAAACTATTATATATGATAATGCACTACTGTGTTAATAAGTTTGGTAATAGGAGTAAATGAGAGTTGCGTTGGCACACATACGCAAGTACATGTAAATAAATAATAAATCTACTTTATGAATTGTTGCCGAGTACAAGACTAATTATTTTGTTGATCCCTAATAGTCCTATTTCTCATGTTTTTGGGCAGCATCTTTGATTTATTTTGTTTTATTATATTATTATACTTAATGAATTGCCATTCTGTAGATCCTTTACAGGTATTGTATTATACTCAGGTGCCCTCAAGGGACTATTGTACATCCATTTTTTTCGTTAATTAATACAACAGATTTAGTTGTTTAATTAAATATTCAATATTTTTGACTATTTTGCATGTATATTCATTCCGAAATATTCTGCTGAATTATTTAAATAACATCAAAGGTCAAAACTTGGCAAAAAATTGACGAGTGATCTATTGGACCGTTGGTCAATAATTGACGAGTTCCAGCATCTATTGGAATACAGTTTATTCATAATTACCAGTAGGTAATTAAACAGTCATTTCCCTAATCAGTCAAAAGACCAGAACATTTTGCCGTTGGCTTCGGGTAATAGAATATACAGAGCTGTCCCCAACACCTCAGGTACAATACTCTGGTCCATTGACTGCTCTGGCCTATTGACTACTCTGGTCCATTGACTACTCTGGTCTGGTCCATTGATTACTCTGGTCCATTGACTGCTCATTTATTACTGTATAATGTAATTTTTGGTAAAAAATTATGTATCACTTCATGACCCTGTGATAAAATTATGGTGGATATATTATACTTTAAATATGTACAGTGAAACCTGTCTAAACTGACATGCACTGGGAGACCAATTTTGTATCAGAATAGACGGGGTGTCCGACTACACATGTGAAAAACATACCGGAAAGTAGTAAAATATGAATGAAAATAAAGGTCGGAATTCACAGTGAAAAAGATTAAATTAGTTAGGTGTCGGATTAGACAGTTTTCACCATAAAAACAACCAACAAGATAATATTGTGAATAACATTTATTTAAATTCAATAATTTAAAATACAAGACTCTCAATAACAGGAAAACATAATTTCATTTGTGACAAAAAAAATTAATTAAAAATAAAAACTCAACAAAGCATACAAACACATTTTGAACCAAGTCGAACCCTTGAGCATGGGAAACAGCTATTCATATAAATAAAATTTCTAGTTAAAATTCCCAATTTATAATATCAGTTTGAGTTTACAAGTGTTCATGGAATTTTATTTTCAACTCGAAATTAGAAATAGATATCACATACTTATACATGTTTTATACTTTTTTCTCACACAATCTGTGCATCATAAAATTTATGCTGTTTCACATTATCATGTGCAAGCACGAATTCAGACAGGGGTGCACATAGTGTGTCCCCTCCCCCAAACCTTTCAAAAAAACAGAGAGAGAGAGAGAGATAAAGACAAAATAAGGACCACCAATTGACCACTGCCCTGGACCCAGTGGGGACCTTGTTGATTACCAGACCCCTTCCCATCTAAAAGTGCCCACCCCTAATACAAAATCTTGGATCTGCACCTGAGGCTGATGTGCCCTGTATGATTTACCCTACAATTCTAAAGTAAAGTCCACCATTAATAAAATCTCAACAAATTAGCTCTGCAAGAACTCTCTACTAAAAGTCAAAGGACAAAAGCACACAAGACAGGGTAACAAATATATAAAAATAGAAGACAAAAAACTGGTATCACAGTCATTTTCAATACATTAACTGGGTCGTCTACAACAGTCAAATTATCTTCATCCATAGGGCACAAAAACAACACTGCCTCAAGTATAAATGTACAGGCCATTAACCAAGAAAATGTTAAAATATACACAACTTTTGCTACATATTGTTAAACTGCTTTTCTATCATCTTTTCCCTTCAAGAAATAAATGTACATACCCACTCTTATTTTTATAGATTATGGTGAAATCCTTTCATTTAATGTATATAATGACTCTAGAGTTGATAACAACAGTCAAATGTCCTAAAATGGACAAAAAAATGTTTGTCAAAATCTATCAAAGCACTAACAAAGGTTAATTATGGTACAATTAATGTCCATAAGGAGTAAATGAAAATCTCTTCAAGTATCTGCACTCCTCAAATCTTATTTAATATAGGCCTACATGTAATACCTGAAACTGATGGAGATTTTTTTAATTCTCATTTAATTAAGATTTATTTTTAAATGGATAACTTTCAGATACATGTACAATGTACAAGGTTAACATATCATATTACTTCGGGATGGCGACTGTAAATGCAGCTCACGAAAAATAATTTTATGCCCCACAGTAAAACTTTGTTCCTTTCTTCTCCGCACCACCCTCCAAGTACAGAGGTATATAAATCTTAAAGTTAATTTAAAATATAACAGTATATGGTTTGTTTTGTTTTTTTTAATTGTTACACCATGAATCACTTGTAAAATGTTTTTTGGATAATTTTTCCCCCCAGTTCTATCACAAAGAGGATCAAAACAAACTTTTTTATTTCGGCCCAGATCACAATCATTTCATAAACAAATAATAAAAGCTAAATAATCAATAAATTCTCTAATTCTGATGGTTAATAGAAAGTTGAATCTGCAAAGATAATTCAAAAGAAGTCTTACAAGGAACATATCAGTTATAAAACAAGATTTAATGGGATGCATCTATGCAGCTAGACCAGGAAAGCGAAAGTGAAGGGTCAGATCACAAAAGCAACATACAGGTACGGAGACATGTTTCTATGTCAATCCTTTTATTGTTGAGAATACTGAGTGTTGTCAAAAAATGAAAGAAGTTTATAAACTCATGTTTGGAAAAGTACAATAAAAAGGGTACTTCTGGCAGATCTTTACAACATAGAACTTCATTCACTGAAAAGTAGGTAAAATCTTTTGCTTCAAGAACATACTTAGGTTTTGATTAAACAGTCCAAATACATAGTTTCTGCATTGAATTTTGATAACAAAAAGATATTTTTGACAGAGAAACATAAATTTCTCTACACAAAAAGACATCTGTGCACACATTATTGCCATTCTGAAAAAAAAAATCTAAGCATGAAAATTTATTTACAGACATATCAAAGTCAAATAGACACAATCTGAAAACACTTCTACAAAATCGGTTAGGATAAAATACTGATCGAGGTTTTTTAAAAAAAATGTGTAGAAATTCACATCAAAACAGATTCCTTGTCTGTTCAAATTCTTCTCATTTATCATTGTACATATACTGGCAAAAACTTATCTAATAAAAAAAACACCCAGCATTTACAATGTTACTCAGGGTCAAACCCTTAACACAACAAACATTTTCTGTGTATCTTTATATCATTGTCTAACAATTGTGAGCATGGTGAGGAAAGAATCTACACACAATGTACAGCACATACAGTTAATGCAATGTAACCACAGTAGTGAGAACACACCAGCAAACTGACTAGCAGTTTATTATGTTCCCAGTCGTTGTGAGTTCTCTCCCTTAGGTGTTAAGGACGTTGTGCTTGATGTCACGTTTTAGCTTCAGAATAGCATCCTCCACTCTCTCTTGTCTTGAAGGCTGATCGCTCGATGTTGTTTTGAAGGGCTGAAGGCAAAAGAGCTGGAGAACACAAGAAATAGCATTTTATTGGATGTATGGAAAAGTATGTCCAACAATTAGAAATTATTAGATCAAATATTGAGGAGGATGCTATTTATAAATGTATACTACATGTATAACTTTGCTCTGCAGAAATTATGTTTCCTCAAGTTTTTTCATCAGTTGTCATAAGAAAATGCTTAATATAATTTTCCTTGGACTTTTCTTAATTTTCCATTTTTCTCATTTTAAATATACATATTTATAAAACTTAAAATTGTCAAATATGATGATGATACTTCATTTTCACCATTGAAAATACAGTTTTATATATAAACTGAATTCAGAAATGATTGAAGGAGAATTAGCAATTAAATATTAATTGCTACAGATGTTTACAATTGGAAAGTCTAAAATACATGTGTATATACTTTTCACAGAAATACTGCATATAAAATATCACTGTTTACTATAATGATAAGATGTAAATGTCCAGTAAGAGATTCAGTAAATGTCCAATAAAGGAACTAAGATTTAATGTGAGCTGGGATTTTGATGGAGGGTTTTTATGATTCTGGGTTATACATACAAAGGCTGGTATACAAGATAACTATATAAACATGTAATGGTCAGCATTCCTGAGAACCTCAACACTGCAACGTCATGCAGCATGCAATACATAAATCTCCTGGAATTATATGCTGCTCTTATGTAGAGGCATGTTGCTATGAAGACAGTGTATATCTGGTATACAAGGCTCAATGGCCACAGCACTTACCTGAGTCATCTTGCCAATACTCCTTTGTGTTTTAACATATCAATTTATCCCTGTTCTTGAGAAAAGCACTGTTTTTCCTTTATGTTTCAATTAATTATCTGGATCCCTACTTAGAAACATTCTAGCCATAGGGACTACATTAAAATTATTTTAATTTGTGCATGTGAAAAACTGTGCCTTAAATTCTCTTCATGAAAATTTTCTTTAATAAAAGAAAAATTATACATCTCTTTTTGTTCAACCAAGTTCAAATAAAGACCATTTTAAACAAACTTTAATTTATATTACTCTAAAGTTGCTTACATATTAAGTGACAAATTGTGACCTTAAGAGGGGGATATTAAAATCATTCTTTCCAAGATAACATTCTGATTCCATATTATTATATTCCTAGTAAAATACAGCTTAACTTTCTAACCCATTCTGTATATATAAACAATACTATGAATCTACACAAAATTCGATATATAGAGAGGGTTACTCTGTCCTGTACATTATATGAATTCATCAGGGTATCCCTCCATTATCAGCCATATAAAACCTTCAAGGTATCCCTAAATTCTCAGCTATATAAAGCCTTGGGTATACCCATACTAATGGCTTTATATAGCTCCCATCCTCCCCCCCCCCCCCCACCTTATTAGCTATATAAAGCCTTGTGTTTACCTCCATTATCAGATAAAGTCATCAGTGAATCCCTCCATTATCAGCGAGATAAAGCCTTGGGTATACCTCCATTATCAGCTTTATAAGGCCTTAGGGTACTCCCCCCATAATCTATGCCTCCATTATCAGCTGTATAAGGCCTTAGGGTATCCCCCCCCCCCCCCCATTATCAGCTATATAAAGTAGTGTTGTCAACGAGTACCCGGTTAACCGTTGAACGATGCGAGTATCGGTTAGTAAAATTGCTACTCAGTTACTCGGATATATTGAATTTTATTAAGTAAATAAGTAAGAATAATATATTTTTGTTTATAATGTCCTCATTTTATTTTAGGAATGACTCTAAATTCTTGGCCAAATTATTCGAGTATAACCTGGTTTGGGTCAGTTTACGCTTTATAATCCGCGAAGCGGATTATAAAACAGTGATGGGAATCTAGGGGAGGTAAAAACTGATACATAGGCCTAGCAGCCATGTTGGTTGTTTACATGTGGTAAAATCGAATTATTCTTTGAAATTAAAAGTACATTTTTTAAATCTGGAATTTCCCATGAATCCCGAGGACTGGAAATGAGAGGATTGTATGGATACAGATGATTCAGCTGCTTGTCGGGGGGGGGGGGTGTCCCCATACCAAACCAGGTTATACAGAAATAATTTGTGTTCCTTTTTAGATATTAACCAATCAGAGGCTAGAATACAAACAAAATTAAATTATTTATAATTACCTCACAAAAACCTGTGCTAGTTCACAGTATAATTAAGATTAAAGATTCCGCCACATGCATCGAAAGCATGGAAACATTTTTAAAAGAATGGCTGAATTTACATCCATGAGGTGTAAATTATGTGAAACGAAATTAACATACTCAGATGGGACAACTATTATGCTTAACAACCTAAGACTGAAATACAACTGTGAAATCACCGAGACATACAGCCTAAATCAGCCAACGATTATGGGATGTTCAAGAACAAATTTATTTAAAAAATATTGTGTGTTTGTGAATATAATTAAAGTTCATATGCAGTGCATTTGTGTTTTGTAAATGTTAAGATAAACATAAAATTGTAACGACATCACATACAGTTTAAATCACAGCTGAGTGTATATACTGCGAACAAGAATGTTTTGATGTCTAAAGAAAAACCATCCGAGTAACCGGTTACTCGATCGGAAAAGTAAGCGAGTAACCGGTTACTAAAAATCGTCCGATTTGACAACACTAATATAAAGCCTTGGTTATACCTCCATTATCAGCTATATAAAGCCTTCAGGGTATTCCCCCATTATCAGCTACATAAAACCTTAGGGTATTCCTCCATTATCAGCTAAGCCTTGGGTATACCTCCATTATGAGCAATATAAGTTCTTAGGGTATCCCTCTTTTATCAGCTACATGAAGCCTTGGGGTATCCCCCATTATTAGGTATATTAAGCCATCAGTAATAGAAGGCCTTAGCATATTCCTCAATTCTCAGTTATATAAAGCCATCAGGGTATTCTCATATTAAAAGCTTATTAATCTATCATTAAATTAATGCTATCAAAGTTTTATCAAATTTAATCAATTCTATGTAGAGTATTCTGTGCAACGCCTACAATGTAGCATGTGTTGTCTACGCTATGTGGGTGAATTGGTGATTAGCTACAGCATCAAACACCTAAAGGGGTGAGGCAAACTCATCCTATAATCACAGCCAGACTGAAAGGACTATGAGGGGTGGATCTAGAGGGGTGAATTGTTGAATACACCACAAAGCAAACCAGCAAACCTACAGGCTCAACAATGAGAATTCAAACATCTGCCACTGTGTGTTCATCATTAACAAAGTGAACTTTCATTTCAATCTTTTTTTTTTTCATTTTCCTCCAAACAAAGCAGTGATTAATATCATTATAATTGCCTTTTTTCCTCATCTTAACTTTTGGCACTTTTTTATGTGATTTTCTTTTTCCTAGAAAAAAATTAAGAACCAATCAAAAATAAGAATAATGAAAAATTTAATATCAATGAAGTAAAAATGGAATTGTTTTTGATTAATTTTTGTCCACTTTGAACATTTCTCTGTTGATAAGTTGCTGCTATAGACAACATTTGTACAGAAGGATGACAGTGGCAAGGTGCTCTGGACATGTTAAAACACTTTGGTGGTCTTACTTCTGTCTTTTTGGGAAGAATTTGAACTTTGTGACAGATTGCATGGAGCCAGACAAAAGACCTGATGGTGGAAGGGAAAAAATCAACATATCCAATATCACATCAATATCAAATCAAAATCTTAGTACTTCATTTAATCACTCAGTCATTGCATTCACAAGATGGTAAACCAGCAAGCTTTAATTCACTTTAATGTGTAAAAATTAAAGGAAATTGAAGTTATTTGGAACTGGGAAAATAGAGAGGATTTTTTTTATATTTCACTTATTTTCAATTGTGCAAGCTTTAATGACACTTTGAAAACCTGAGACAATGTAAGTTGTTTCCTTAACCAAAAATAGGAGTTATCTCTCTTTGGCTTTACCTGATCTGTTGGGAGAAGCTTGAAGTCTTCTGGGGGGTTGGTTATCACATAACGCTTTGATGAAGGACTAGATGATGATTCGTTGGTGTCTCTGAAGCGATACAGTCCAATACACAAAATTCCCAGGTTTCTCAAGGCGTAGAGGAACAACTGACCATAATTTCCATCCTCCTGTCAAATAAAATCTGACATTTAGTTAAACCTGAAAAGATGTTATTGCTTCACAAACAATTCAGTCTTAATTTCTTTTACCTATATTTCACATTCTATCTTCCAAGCAGGCTAAATCAAACCATGTAATAGGCATCTGACACCTTCACATGGAGTTGTTAACTTACCCCAAACTGTGCCAGAGGGCCCTCAAACAGAGAGACTTGAGCTACACGGCACCTGTCCCTGTTTGCTAGTACACTAGGGGTACAGTATCCACCCCTCATTCCTGCCCCCTCAGCCAAGATCTGCTCCAGCTCAGGGGTGGCACCTCCTGTGATTAGGGTCCGTATCAAAGTCAGGGCATTGTCATTGAAATAACTCTACAAATATTACAAATATCAAATTACTCTGCAAGTAGTTAACTACAAACTCATTTCCTGAATACAGAAACTACAATAAAAATAATTATGTCAAGGTATGCCTTGAATTGCAATTTCACTAGAAATGTTAATTAAACTGAAGAATTTGCCTTCCCTTCAACTAATTCATCTGAAATATTAATTAATAGAAATGAAATAATCTGATGAGTATAGTATTTGCTTACTGTGCTCATGAGCGAGTCCAGCACACTGACAGCAAACGCTGTACCACAAGCGAATGGTTGCGTCATGTATAGCTCTGTATCAGGGTCATCTTCATCATCCTGGTCCAAGAACTGCACATTAGAGTCATTCGCTGTAATACAAAATCTCAGGGTAAGTCATATACTTAATATCATATGAACTCAGATTAATCAGTACATTTAACATTAATTACAAGACATGAATTTACAATTAATAAAGTCTGTATTCTCTGGAGGAGTAAAGCATTCTTAGTGTATTGCAAAAACAATGAGTTCTTTTCTGATATTGGCTGTATTTCTCTCAAAAATCATTATACTGGAACAAAATGTGAACTTGATCTATAACTTATCAAGATAGACTAACAAATCAGCTCAATATATGTAAGCATCTTATAACATCTAACTATGTGAATGAACAACATCTGCAGATTAGAGGATAAGACTTGTACCTAGTTCTGTGATGAGGGGGACATTGGAGCCACACACAGACCCCCTCCTGGTCCTCTTTGATCTTCCTATTGGGGAGAAACCTGGGGGTAGGAACCCTAAAATACAACACAGAAAACAATAAAAAATCTCCAACAAGACTGCAATACTACACTACATGTATCTCACACATTATTACATGTGGTGCTTAATCCTTCATCCACTTCTGCAAACCTGGTTACTGGTGAATTTGTAATGTAAAATTCTGCTGATGGTAGAGAGGTCAAAAACTTGTGTCTGTAACTTTTTCAATGAGTATGAACACACATATAATGTATTTTATGTAAATTTTTAAGTCACTGTAACTGCTTACGTACATGATGTATCTAATCAGTTATGAAATCATTTAAAATATTTTCTATAACATATTTTTTGTCAAACTTTGGACCCCCTTTACAAACTAAATTACCTGGTGCTTGTTGAGCGGAAGCCTATATAAGACTGATTTACCTGGTGCTTGTTGAGCAGAGGCCTGTATAAGACTGAATTACCTGGTGCTTGTTGGACGGAAGCCTGTATAAGACTGAATTACCTGGTGCTTGTTGAGCGGAGGCCTGTATAAGACTGAATTACCTGGTGCTTGTTGAGCAGAGGCCTGTATAAGACTGAATTACCTGGTGCTTGTTGAGCGGAAACCTGTATAAGACTGAGTAAACCTGGTTTTTCTGTGTAAGGCCCATACAATTACCTGGTTCTTGTTGAGTGGAGGCCTGTATAAGACTGAATTACCTGGTGCTTGTTGAGCGGAGGCCTGTATAAGACCCATAAAATTACCTGGAGCTTGTTGAGCAGAGGCCTGTATAAGGCCCATACTGTCATCAAAGGTCATGGCCTTGATGTTGAGGGAACATAAAATGGCTTCTTTGTCCACAAGATGGGGGTCATCCAAGTTCTTATCTTTGGCAGATAATATCACACACATATCACAGAGATTCACATTCACAGCTCGTAAATTAGCTCGGTTCAGTGGAGAACCCTGACAAAGAAAATATAAAAATGAATGGCATTCACTTTTTCAATAAATTTAACTCCAATTCATTGAAGACAAGAAAATTTTTTTAAAGCATTTCCATTATATATAATGATATTCATCAAATGTGAATAAAAAAAATGAAATTTGAAAAAAAAAGTTGAATTTTTTTTTAATAAGGAAGTTATCAACTCATATATAATTATTATTTCAGCAGCTTTTATTTTTCTGTCTCTAATTGATATATCATATCACTTGTCACTGATTCGTTTTCAAAAATTTCATTTGATTAAGTCAAAGGTCAAGGTCAGTCCTAATAAATAATTCAAAACATCACAATCTGATTTACAATCTTTGAAGGTAGTATTTTTTATGCCAACTTTAATCAATTTTAACTTGATTTATCTTGAAGATTATTCACAAAATGACAAGAGGAGGTCATCCTCAACAGATTTTGTTTTCTTTCACTTTAAGTTCAGCAATCCTTTGTTCACTAAAATTCAGTTTTTATACTAATGAATCTTATTCATAGAATGCAAACAATATCAGGATACTTTGCAATGCAAAATTTGACAGAATGATGCTTTATGTAAGAAGTTTGGTTATTAATATAACAACAGGGTAAACACATCTAGTACACATCATTGTTGATGTAAAGGGATGTAGCTTTGAAAAACATCATAATGCTTGGTAACCTAGCCAGTCACTGGAGAAAATGTATACAAGGACTAATTGTATGTAAAACGAGCTTCAAGTTACAACTTTTTCACAAGATGATCTCAATACGTACGGCTAGAATGGTAATTTTGGGGAAGTTCTGTAGAGTTCTCCATTCCCTCTCTAAGTACTCTAGATTTCCCACAATCACCACGTGTTTTAGTTCCTGATAGTGGAAATTACTGGCTCTCAGTGGCATGACTAAGTTCCTCAGACCAATCAGTGGAGAGTTAGCATCAGCAAAGAGACACACGACCACGTGGTTACATAGAACAGTAGCCGAGGCTTTATCTCTATCCTGTAGAATCAATTATAATCAAAGACTGTACAATCCCACATAAAAAATCTCAAATACATAATTATACACTTCTTACAGTTGTGTATCTGTTACGAACCATATATACAGACTATATATTTATACACAGATATCTCTGAAAGCAAATTTCTCAAAGGCTGTATATAACAATACCGTAAATGTGGAAATTTTTACGTCAATTAATTTTTGCAAAATTAATTTTCAAGTTTAAGAATTTTGCAAATTCACATCAGTGCTAAAATATTCTGCTTCATTAGTGAGTTTGAAAGAATAAATTAAATCTAAGTTTCTTTAAAAGAATTTTTTGATTTATTAATTAACATAACTTTAAAAAATATTTGTGTTTTACACTAAAATGTAAATCAATGTTCTTTTGCATTTAATTGACATGCATTTCTTTCTCAATTTTTTTTCAAGAAAAATATTTTTGCAAATAAGTTTTTGTGCTCAGAATTGCTAAAAATTTATTGACATTAAAAATTTTCAGATTTATGATACATGTAGTTTCATTCCACAGTTGTTTTCCTTACCATCTAATTTATTACAGAACTTGTTTTTCATAAACACATGTAATGCAAGTTTGTAATTAGAATGAAACTATGACATAACAATGACACAACATGACATCAGAATTATAAACCTACTATATTCAAACAAGAGGCCTATGGACCATATTGCTCACCTGAGTACTGTAAATTTACATTCATTGTATATCAGTGCACTCAAAATTTAGTGCAATTGTCCTCTTTATTTGATTAGCACAATCTTGAATTAGTGCATTTGAGTCTTAATTAAAAAATGGCATCTATTAGTTATCAAAATTTAGTGTGTACATAAATTAACACGTCAGAAAAAGCAGTGCAAAAGGCACTAAAATATTGAGTATTATTACTGCTAAAATAGGAATAGTTTATGATTTTCCCCTCTTTATTCAAATGTAAAATTTTGACCCTGTATTATGGCTCCATAGTAGCCCTATGGGGTCATGACTAAACCAATCCTGAATTTACACTGCATGGAGATGTTGACATTAAAATGACTTATGTGGCTTTCCTATTCTAGAGAAAGAGGTTTTTCCTATAAACATACAGTTAAACTTTGTTAGCTTGAACACCATGATCTCGAATACCAGGGATATGTTGAAGTGAGTTGGTTGTCCCAACTACTTCACCTCTGTATTTTACCCTTGTTATCTTGAATCATTGGATATCTCGAAGTTTAATCTTTGACTTTGTGTTCAAGATAACGAGGTTTGACTACATGTATTATGTAAAATTTGACCTCTGCATATTTTTTCTATTTCTTAATGATCTGCCCTTGAAAGAGGGCACAGCTCTTCATTTGAATATAACTTGCACAAATAATTTTTAAACCATACTGATTACTAAATTTGACATCTGGCACTGCTCACATAATAAATGATAAGATGAAAAGTGAAAAATCAATTATTTTAAAAAAATATATTATGAAAACATTCACTTCAACCATTTGTTTTACTCTTTGTCTGCATTGTGCAGTCTTAGTGTATGTATTATAGATATAGAAATCCTGAGCACTTGATCAAGGCAACAACTTGTACAGAAAACACAGCAAATCTGAGCACACTAAATCTAGAAAACATGAATACTTTCTATTGTTTCAGTTGATTACTTGTATGTACAATTTACTACAAGAGAGTCCTAACCAAATCTGAAGAGTCTGAAATGTCTGATGTTCTATTTTCCTCCTTGATAGAAGAGGTTTTACACTGTTAGAGATCTTTTAAATCCTCCATAGAGCTGTACAAATAACTTTGTAAAAGCATTTCAAGTGATTAATTTGATAATTTTACTTTCTTTATCAGTATTTTAAATGTATGTATATGTAATTTATCTGAAATAAAATAGAAATCTCTGAGAATTTGTAACCACACTCCAGAAACTCACACCCATGTCAAGTCTACTACTTACATTTGACTTCTCACCTTTAATTTCATCACCTCTCTATGCAGGAAATTTCATTATTTGAAATTTTTCAACACATTTGTAACATTTTTTGATAAATCAACAAATGTAATTATTCAGTTCTCAGTTAATGATACAACTAATAAATCTAAACATTCTTCAATCTATTTATCTGGCAGGGATATTTAAATCAACTGCCAGAGATGTTGGTGGCTTTAATTACAGAACATGGAAGATTAATATTTAGGCAGTATCCACACAGTGAAGGAGCTACTTACTGTGGCCTTCTCTCCGATGTTTTCAACATCGGTGTGCTAATTAAAGGTAAAATATATTTCTTTTAATTTTATGAAATTTTCAGATAAATTCAGATGAACTGAAAAAAAGTACAGGTGTAACTGGAATTCAAGATTAAAAAAAAATTAATGCATATATCAACAGTAAGGGCATATGTAACATGTTTATTAATAAATACATGTAGGTGTTTATAACGATCCAAGAATATGCCAATACCATTTAATGCACTTATTTTAAAGGAAGCAGAGGTAAAACTCTTGTAATGCACACTCAATTTGTCAAAATTATACAACACATATGATTGGACACCTCTTGCTAAAGGGACTTCTGGGATGAAAAAATTGTGACGTGTGATATTCATTCCTTAAGGACTCTAGATGCATGGATTGGTAAAATTTTTAGACTCATATTGGTTGTGAATGATGTTCAAGTATCAAGAAACTGTAGATCTTTCTGCTATTCAAAATGTTAACCTTTTGACATTCAATCCCCTTAAAATCTATACAATTTTTATCTCATTTTATATTGTGAAATCTAAAAAAAAAATTATGTTATGTGGCTACTCTTGCTCATTTTTACTTATATAAACATATGTATAATTTATTAATTTTTTTATGATTTTTAAAAAAATATGATTTTAGCAAGTGGCTTTAAGCACCTCCTAAGCTAGGTGGACATATGCATTTCTAAATAAATTTTTTTAGAAAACCCACCATTCTGGCCTCAATGAGAGGCCTTGCTGGGCACCAATGAAACATTCCTGTGGAGTCAAACTTCCTGGGTTCATCTCCAGGGGCCACGCTGGTGTCTTGGGGCACAGGATCTTGTGTGAGGGTAGGGAGGATAGCAGTATTGGGGGTGGTTGGCCTATAAATAGTACAGAAGAATATTGTATTATCGGGTATGTACTTGAATCCTTAATTGATTCCTTTTACACGAGTAAAATAATATACTTAATATCGCCAAATGACTCGACGTCAAATTGCGAGAACATAAATTTGCTAACGGACTGTTGATACAGAGTTTTAACATGTATTTCATCAATGAAAAGTGAATAATTTTATTTTGTGTACAGTGTTTCTCACAAATTTACAGGATAATAAACTCTTTGCATATATTTAGGATTCTGCAGTATGACATATATTCAATATAATCCTGGTTAAGCAAGATCAAGTGCCTATATATCTTAGTTTTCAACCTAAATTGAAATACAGGTAATTGTTATTTTTGCAATAAAAAAAAAAACCCAGCAATTTCAGGCGATTTAAAATTTTACCCTTAAAAAATTCATTTATTAAATAAAAAATGAAATGGTTTTAAAAACCAAACCCCAAAATTCAGAATAATATTTTTTTTTTTTAAAATTCTATTTCTTCTTCTTCTAATGTTGATGGCAAACAAGAGAATTAAATTACTTCTCTTTGATAATATTGAAATAGAAGAAAAATTTTCTACAGTCTAATCCCCATAATTTCTGCTGTTTAGAATCCCAGTACTTTAAGTTGTCACAAAATTCTATCTGCAAAGAAGTAAAATTTATAAACTACCAGTAAGTGCTTTCAAAAAAAATAATCATACTGTGTGTGCAGTACTCTAATTTATAAGTAATACAATAAGATGGTAAATTTTTTTCTATTTTATGTATAAAATATAAATTATTTCATTTTTTTTCAATTTGCTGTATCAAAACTGCATGTATAAATCATTAAAATATGTACAAGTAAAACTAACTATCAATGGTTATTCAATGCCATGCCTCACCGAAAATACAAACATTCATTCATTTCACATGAATCTCCACAACAAAGGAACTTGCCTCTGAATAACATGCTTATTGAATACTCGGAATAAAAATGTTACATTAAGTCCAGTTTGGAAAATAATGCCTTTGATTTTCTCAATACACTTATCAGTGCTTGCCATGATTAGGAAATCCTTGTAGACCTAATTCCAGTTGTGTTTCATGTGTTCTCTAATAAAACCGCCTTCAGCACCTTCTTTTTATTTTTGCTTGCATTTTTGTCATTAAAATCCTTTCCTAATGGTCTAATTTGACATTGATCTCAAGACACAGAAACAAAAATAATTTTTGCTTTTACTTCAAATAGATTGTGACAAACTTTCAGAGTCCTGTAAAACTCACTTAGGCTGACTGAATGCAAAGAAGAGTTGACTTACAAGTTATAAGTCTAAATGAGAATTATAAATTTCAGTTTGCAGCAGGGCAGCTAGATCATCATCAAGCAATCTGAAGAAACTCAAGTTCTTATATTAGCTGTCACAGCCTTTAGTTTATAACATACACTGTCAAGATTTTAAATATTACAACACACTGATGGAGGCATGATCAAGTTCCTATTGTGACAATAATGAACATGCAGACCCACAAACAAAGTGCCAATTCTTACTGGTTTTCTTTGGATTTTGACAACAAGCTCGCTATGGCCCTGTGGATTAATACAAACAACGCACAAATAATTAACAAGCATTCAATTCACCAACAGGTACAGGGAAATATAGAAAAAAAATTATAGTGCTGACTCAAATCACGGGGTTTAGATTCCACTAGGTTTTATATAAGATTGTGCAGTTAATTACTATTAATTCCCATGAAAATTCTGTTAATGTTCTGAAAACAGTCCATATATGTCATTATATGAATTAGCTCACATTTACTTTTTTTGTTCAGTAGTTTCTAATATAAACCAAGTTCAACATCTACATGTGCTGCTTGTGTGGTTCTTTTATTCCTAAAATGTTCACTTTTCTAACATGCTCCTCTAATACATTGTCAATATCAGGCTAGGTGTCAGCTAGTTTGATACTATAGATAAAACATCCAATATAAATCTCTCAACAGAATAAAGAAAATATGGAGTACAGCTGTACCATTCAAAATTTCTTTTCTAGAAAATTAAATCTCAAAATCCATGGACGATACAACTAATATGTTTTACGGTGTGACCGTTGGGGTGAGCGCAGTTACATCATCAAAAAGCTATAGCAGCTTACACTTGTAACATTGATCCGCCTCTTCAAACGTCAAACCGAACGAGACACAGTCTAGACTGTGACGTCACATGAAGTCGGAATTTACGGAGACAGCCGAGCGTCTGGTTGAACAAGACTAAAGATCTTGTGCAATAATAAATGAAATATGTTGTGGAGTAGATGTAATTATTTTTTGTTTCTTTTAAGCTCCCTACAAAGAAAGAAAAGTAAGCGTATCTCTCGGTAATGAATAATTATCCTTGGTCTTTTGTATGTTTTGTAAGAATTTCGCATGGAACCCTTGTAGCGAAGGAATGCTGGGAATGTTGCACCAGAAAATTTGCCTGACGTAGGTACAGATTTCATTCCGAATTTCCTCTGTTCTTACACGTTAGTCTATTGAGCTCGCTGCGCTCGCTATAATTAAAGACTGAGTTTTCAATCTTTTTTCTTCTTCTTTTTTTTTGGGGGGGGTAAAATTTGATATCCTTTAGTTATTGTTTCATATACTGCAGTTGATCAACAGACCCATTCAAGCTGACTACAAACTAATCAACAATAAACTCAAACAGTGTACATACATGCCATTTAACAAATCAATTCCAATTATTAATCTATCCTGAATCATAAAGCATGTTAAATGCAAATGCTTTAAGTATTGACCTAACTAAGATATTAACTTAATTAATTTAACAAGAAACATTGACCTATACACAGTTAAATGAATGCAATGGTTTCACAAGTAAGCCAATCCCTGTATTATTAGTAAGCGTTCAACAATTCTTCCTAGTAATGGGACAAGATACATGCCAGACAAAACCTAGTTACATGGCAAGTCGAGGACCCCTTATAGACATATGCTTGGACAGTTTCTCAGTTTTGCCTAAAGAAAATGATATCCTCTTTTCTCTAGAAAATAAAAACACAGTAGACATAAAACTCACACTTAGCACTTGTCAACTTAGATCTATCAAAGAAACTTTGAAATGTGCTATGTGTATACATTCAACCACTTGTTATTTAATATTCTGTTTCTTAAGAATTTGAAAATTTGAAAATTTATCAATGCATTAGACATTTTATTTATATAATGTATGATAAAAGAATATTATGTTAAGATGATATTAAAATTTTAATTTCATTTTGACTTTGAATACAGTATGGGTGTTTAATATAACTTAATTTACTGATAATGGAATTGTCCACAGTAATAAGTATGTAATATTGATTCTGTCTGTCTTACAAAGTCCTACATAGTAAGTGACATAAGTCATTTATTGTATTGACCTAACAGCCGGTATGACAATACAGATGAAGCTCTATATTACCCTGTGGTCAGCGGATTGGAGACATTTCCACCTGTCTTGTCCTTAGAGCTCGAGGCCGGTCTGTCCTTCTTGCTCAGTAAAGGATTCGCAGCTATGAAAAAAAAATATAATTCAAATATAAATATATGCAAAAATATAAATCACATGGAAATAAATCACTTAATTAACAGCAGTTCAGATAGATAATTTCATTCTGAAAATATTAACTGATGTAGAGAAAGAGTTCAAATTTTAAAACATTCAAAGAACAGAAACAATGCCATTTCTAAAATCTGAATTTGAGTTATTGCTAGAGCAATATCCAGGTAAATAAGAGGTTTCATTTAAAGTTTTCTGTTATGTCAATAAATATAAAACAAGTTATAAAAGTATAACACTACAAAGAAAAACCTCCACACTGTCAAATCTATGCTTCTGATTATTTCATTATATCAAGTTAACATTCCAAAAATTTGACAACTTTCTAAAGACAAATTAGCTATAATTCAGAGCGTCTATGATGTATAAATGATGTAAAGAGTGCATTTGTTCTACAATAATGTATTATATACGTTCCACATGAATGTATCTTTTTTTATTCTGTAAGAATGTATTTGTTATATAAAAGTATATCAGTTCTATATGTGTGTATCTTTTCTACCAGAGTGGGTCCGTCTTTTCTATAACAATTCTTTTCTACCACAAGAATTTGTCTGTTATAGAACATGGCAGATATATTCTTATAATTTTTGCTTTTGAAACAAGAAGTTTCTTTCTATAAATGTGTATATGTTGTATATGAGTGTAATTGTTTTGTTTTATAAAAGTCTTTGTCTTATGTGTGAACATTTCATTACAGCCTTATAAGAAAAAGATGTAATACATACTGACATAAATGATAAATAGATTTAACTTGCATCTTCCATTGAATCTAAATTAAAATCTGTGAAACTTATAATCAATTTGAAATAGATACATTGACAGTTAAATGCAAAGTCCAAGAGCCTATTAGTAAGTATTTAGGAATATTTAATTTGTGCTGACGTCCAATAAGGATTTTGCTCTTTGTTTGCTCCTTGAGGATAGAAAACCACTCTATTATAGCTTCAATTTCTAACAATTGTTTCCCCCAATAATGCTGTTTTATTCAAAGAAAGGACATTTATAATTTATTTTGCTATAATGCATATTATTTTTTTAATATTCAATTAAAAAAATATACAGACTGTGTATCCAAATTGCTTTATGCATAAACACACACACACATAACCTTTTCTATATAACAGCATCACATCACACATTTACGATTAAAAATATAGTATTTTAAACCAACTCAGCTCAGCAATGGATCACGGTTCTAGATATTATCATGTTGTGTGATTACCAATGTTGTTTACTGTTGATATAATTTTAATAATCTCAATCAATCTAAAGCTATATATTAAATATCGAGTGTAGATAATTAATATTTCTATTGCTTGAATGAATAAAGCTATATATCTACATTAGCTGCAATTTATGATCAAACCTAAGGTACTATATAGCTGCTTTTATCTTATATTTTAAGGAAAACTCTTAGAAATACAAAATTGTTTGCTAAATATACACATCCACCAACTGAATGTGCTGAACTAACTAAGCCATGTTTTACAATATGCCCACTTCCAAGCCAATTTACCAAGCTAATAGACTTATATACAAGTTTTTTTATGGTTAATGTAGCAACCAACATTTGAAGCACTGGAACACTATAATATGCTTCTAGCGAGGTTAATAAAGCTTTGTATTAACTTATATTTCTTTAGCACTCACAATAGCGGAATGTACCGACTTTATGTCTCCAGGATTGATTAAGTTTGTACTTCATAAACCTGCCAGTAGCTATAATTACAACATGCATCAATTAGCAAAAATGTACCGTTATACATATTAATTAATTAATATTATGTGTGTACTGTATATATACAATTTATGAGTGCTGGTTACATAAGGTTTATGCACCATGTTAATGAACCTAAAATAAGAAAAAAAATGAAAACATTCACTGAGTGTTTTAAAAATTAGCATGTGTTTTCACTTTTATCATCAAGAAATATAGCATTCACCTACATTTCCATATTTTTTCAGATGGCAAAACAAACCCTAGAACCCATTTCATGCAGAGCATGCTTGTATACTATTTCATAAAACCTTCATAAGAAGCAAAACATTATTTACATATTTCAGCAAACCTTCAATCTCCAAAAAAAAAAAAAAAAAAAAAAAAAAATGATAATAAAATAAAATTCTTTTTAGGGTTCCCATTTCCATCCCCCATCAATTCCTTTAAAGGTATTAAATTTTTTATCCATTCTTAAAAAAAGAAAAGAAGAGATTCAAACTTGAAATGAACTACTTTAAAAACACTATAATAGTGAAAAGAGTTCATTATTAAGATGAAATTAATTAGAATTAATAAACTTAGATTTAATACATTTTAGCAATGCAAGAGGAAATGATATCTCTTTGGAAGGTTTTCTATGCATGAGTTTGTGGTTGTATTTATCAAATCAAAATAATTAATCAGAGTAAAATAAAGATATGTTATAAATGTTCAGTGTGCCACGGTTATGCCAGGACATGCAATATTGCACCGATATTATTTTCCATGTCTCTCACCTAATTTGTTCCCAAATCCTAAAATTCAAATATCATCTTAAACAATCTATTGCACAGTATACAATTTATGCTTATAAATAGAAACATGCAGTTGTCATGCAAACATCACCTTTTTTACAGTATCTCAATATGAAAGAAACATATGTAACTATTAACCCAACCAAGGCAACATTACATTCACTTGTGGCTAAGTTAAGGACACCCATAGGAAATAAGCCCTTAAATACTCTGAGAAAATGTGTACAATATGAATAATTTTTAAACTGTATGACTTTTGATGAATGGGAATTCTGCTAACTGCATTTGTATATATCAGCTAGGTCTCAGCTGATTTCAGCTGGAGCGATGTAATTTAATGCATCAGCTGTTTGTCACATGACAGGTTTAAAATTAGAAAATATATGTACAGCTACAAAAATGGATATCTTTTTCTATCAAATTGATGCTGTATTCTTAAAGAATTAAATAACAAAATTTAGCAAACAATTCATGCTCAATCAGCTCTTAGCATATTTTAAAATAGGAAGGATAATATCTACATGTTTAAAAAGTCAGAGTTTTTAGTGAAGCATATAATCATAAAACTTTTGAGATTTTCGAGAAACCTGTCGCTGTTCGCATGCCTCCTTTTGGCTTCATATAAAATATGGATTAATATTTTTTAAGACTAAGTTTCCGTCTTTGTCAGATCAAGTTTGTTTCATTATCATTTTCATATTTACAAACTACAGTAGATTTATCCATGCCTCTAATTTAGAAAGACTGATTGTCTAACCAGTCATTGACGTCATCTCCATACAGTAAAGATCATGTTTGCTTTCATTTTGTATCCAGTTAGAGTGTTGTTAAGGCAAGATTACTTTACATTCATTTATCTGTACATTATTTATGGGAAATAAAATGGCATGGGCATTTGTGAAAGAGACCATTTGTATTTATCAATGTGTTGTTTTAATGTTACGTCATCACAAACCTTTGCATAGAATGACGTAAATATGGGTGTCCTTAAGCTAGCTGCCCTAGTTATACCAAAAAAGCGTATCTAAATGATTGTATCTAGAGGCAGGAAATTAAACTCCTGAAAATATTCAAACAAACTGAAGAGACTACAATGTAGACTGATGGAATATATTATGGCAGTTGCCACCTGCTATAATATTACATGATTGATCAATACTTAAAAGTGTGTCTACATATACTAAAACAAGTTCTCCTTTCAAAGACAAAAACTTGGGGATTGTAATACTCAGATGTATGTTTCCTTGATTTTAGGATTCTTTAAGTCTTCAATCCAAGCAGAAGAAATGTATATACCTCATAAACAATTAATTTACTTGGTAATGTTAAACAAAATATTCAAATACTAATTAACTTCCCAAAACATTTATGAATAAAAAGCATTTCATTTCTAAAAGTTTGTCAAGTTATTAGCAATTTCACTGATAATGTTTACTTTCCATACACTGTGATTGCTTATAAGCGCTTCACACAAAACAGTGATTTAAGATGGGGAGAACTCAACAATAGATAAGAGGTTTACATCATCTCATCACTTGTCAAAAATGACCGAATGTTAAAACTACTAACAATAATATTTTAACTTCCCCCATGGGGAGAACTCAACAACAGATAAGAGGTTTACATCATCTCATCACTTGTCAAAAATGACCGAATGTTAAAACTACTAACAATAATATTTTAACTTCCCCCATGTTTTTTTTTTGTTCATATACAGTACAGGCAACGGGGATCCCGTATTTCCCGCGCCCCATTGCAGTATAAACACAACACGGGATTTGGCCAGGTGAGACAGGTAAACCGCGTTCCCTGCGCGGAAATTCATCACCTACCTGTCCCCGCCGCAGTTAAATCATCGATCAATTAGTATCGTAAACAAACGGGAGTTATCTCCCCGAACAGGAATTTAAAAAAAAAATCAAGATCCGCAGTGTATGTATTATGAAAGTTTCTTTTATTTTGTAACAGTGAGGTGAAAATAATGAACATACTCCAAAAAAGAATTTGTAAAGCTGCAGAAGATATTTAAATGTTTTGTTTTTTTTTAATAATTATTTTTTTGAAATCATATGTCAATACTAAAGCGAATCTTTTGTTTTAAATACTATCAAGAAAACTATTTATAAGCCGTGTCATTTGAGAGTTTAACATGACAAATTTTAATGTCGGAAACATAAGTTCTAAATTTTTAAAACCTTTCTTCAAATTATATGCGAACTGCAATTAAACTGTTACATACACGTGCTAAACAATAGTCAGTGCGAGTTCCGATTAGCAGTTTTCAGCATTCCTATGAGGAAAAAAAAACATCTATATACTGTTTATGTTTTTTTGTATTTTTTACCAAATTTAGAACAGTATAATTTATTTAATTAATTTCAAATATAAATTTGCAAGCATTTCTCTGAAATTGTCGAATGACCGAAAAGCTGTAATATTCGATGGTGAGGGCACGTGAACTTTATACAAGATATCAATAAAATATATATTATTATGCTTTCATGTTAAATACTAAAATCTGATTGGTTTAGACGCATTTAACAATCCGTAATGTTACCCTCAGCGTTAGCAACACACTTGACAACGGGTAACATTACGAAAATATCACATGTGTTCAAATCATGCGCGTACGGTTCACCGTAGAATTCTCAAAACGTCGGTTGTGCGTTTGAAAGAAGCCGAATAAACAACGTCAATAAAAGCTTGCGTCCAATGTAGCTTACTTGAAAACAACAAACCACAGACGAAACATCCTTGCGAGTGCAAACTTTAGATGATAAAGGACTTTTTGAGTAGCAAACAAACAATAAAGAGGTTGGTAAATCTTTTCCGAAGCTTTCTTATTGAGAAAAATAGAAGTGGGGAGTTTGAAAGCTTTCTAAGCGTGAACTTAACGACGATCTCCGAATTTTTTTATGACATCCGAAATCAACAAGACATTCAGTATGATAAAATAAATAGTGCATGTTTTTGAGGGTAACAGTTGAAATTGACACCCCTCGGAAAACCATTGTCAACCTCCGCTGGCGCGTCGGTTGACAATGGTTTTCCTTGGGGTGTCAATTTCAACTGTTACCCTCAAAAACATGCACTATTTATATAATATAATTTTCTTTTCCTCAATATTTACTTCTTTGGTAAAAAATGCTTTGTTTTTAATTTAATTAGTTCTCCAATTACAGAAGTTAGGACGTGCATGGTGATGAACTCCACAAAACAATTAACCGGGGGAGGGGGGGTATAACTTAAACTTCTTATTCTCAATGTGCGAAGAAAAGAACAATTAAAACGCTATGTTTACTTGAATATATTCTGTTTCTTTGTGTATTAAGTATTAGTCGCAATCATTTCCTGTGTATATGGATTAGCAGACCAAGAACAGGAAACGGCATGCCCTGGGGGTTTCACACCTGTCCTAGAGTACCTGGGAATGTGCAAGGCATTGTCTAGCCATACAACACACCGGTCCCTTCAATGTTTCATTATTTCTTCATTTTCAAATGAAATTAAAACAATGAAATTAACGCGAGTCAGTACATACTTGCCATTTTTTTTCCATGAGTGTATTAAAGGAAAAAGATCAATCATACTTTTAAAACAAATTAATAGAGTTTATTAATAACTAAATAAAATAAATCAGATTAATATGTTTCATTACTACATCGTTTTTCCTTCAATCAGTTCATTGATTTATTGAGTCCATCGATTAAAACAAAATATTCATGATAAAATTTCAATGAAATGAATTGCTTCTGGGATTTTTTTTTTCAGTTTCAAATTAAAATAAACGTTTCTGTGAACAGATAATATTATACTGTATCCAATTTATCAATTTACTGACCAGTTGTGGACTTTGATTGTCCAATTTTATGATCGAGTTTCTGAAAAACACGGAAACAGTAACAGCCACAGACGCTATTTTAATTAAAAAAACTAACTGCTTACAGGACATTTATTTATAAGATCGCCAATATTGCTTCACGATGTAATATTACGCAATCTGAAGGTTTTGCAGGTCGTACATCGTATTTCGTTGGGGTAATGGCCAGTTACCGGTGCAAGCTGGAAACTTGTAGCCTATCGCTCTAACTAGCTATGAAATTATCCTAAATATATAGGATGTAATGATTTTATTAACAACAATGACGAAAAAAAGATTTTTTTGATATATATTTTTATTGATATTACTTATACAGTCTTACATGTTTAATGCATAATATTAGCATTTCAAGGTGCAACATATTCCTAAATGTACACATGTTTTATACTGTTACCATCTCTATCTATCATCGTTTTTTATTCTAATAATTAAATCAGATATATATATAATAAAATTATGTTGGAATTATTGATTTTAGATAATTATTTACGGTAAATGAGCTGATGATATTTCATCAAGTTTTACCACAAGTACTAGCTATATAATTTTTTATGCTTTTTTTAAATATGAGAAATAATTAATTTTGAGCGGCTATTGATAAAAAACATAGGAAATAAATACTTACTATACAATTTGATATTACTTAGAATTAAATAAAAATAATTCATTTAATGATATTCACGATATAATGTAGGCCATGATCTTCACTAAGTTATCCCCCCCCCCACTTTTTCGTCGCGATGAAAAAATCGCAAACACTTTACAGGTAAAACTCTAAGCTGGAGAAGAACGGTTGCTGGCCCCGCAGCGGTGTAAACACGGTCGCAGGTAGTACCGCGATCAAAACCCGTGACGGTGTAACGCGGAAAGGATTAACACACTGCCGAGGGGACGCGGTCTAATACGGGATCCGCATTGCCTGTACTGTAAGAGTGAGAATTTTTTGCACACAGAGAAAAAACATATTTTCGTACAGATCGAGTTTAGCAATATATACATCTGAATGAATGTACTATGTAGATGCAAATTTTTGTAGTATTTATCACAAAAATTTTGCAGAATATGTAGCTGCATAGCAAACAAAATAGTCCAAAGCATCATGTGTGTACATGGTTGCATTTGTGCAATTTCTAGGATAAAATCAAATGCCATCAGCCAGAACAGATCATGAATATAATATCACACACAATGTATGATTTGTTCAATATAAATCTAAACTTTCCTGAAAAAAAATTACATATTTACTTGAAAAGTTCCCATAAATGCTTTAATCCAAAATGTATAAATAAAAAAACATTTACACAAGACAATATATGAGCATTGATAGAAAGAATAGATTATATTGAGATATTCACCTATTACAGCCGTCACTCCTTTCTTAAACTGGGCCACTAGCAGGGAAGCAAAGAGTCAAACCGTTAGTATACATGCTTAAAACACTCCAAAAACAACATGCTATGTTTAAATAAAAATTATATTCACAAAGACAAAAAAGCAAAATTAATGTAATTTTTCACAATGTAAACAAATGTTACTGCGGGTAATTGTAATACATATAGATGTAAATGATAGCACAGCTACACATGTTTATAAATTACAGCAATGTTTACTTTCAATGATCAAAGCATTTGGAATTTTGTTAACTTATGATCAATTATACAAGCTGTATAATTTTAAAACACATTTATGGAATATGAAATATGCAGTTAATTACCTATACATAAGAAATGACATTAATTTAAAGATAAAGATAACACTTACGAGGTCTGCACCGACATTTCTTGATGGCTCTTACGTCTGTCACCTCCGCATGGCACGACTTACAGTAATAAAATGCCCTAAAAGCACAATGTTTGACCTTGTATAAGAAAACTGATTACCAGCAAATTTAGATCCTTCTTACTTTTTTTGTACAATATCCCCCTCCTCACCGTTTGACCTCCTCAGCTGACTCTGCTATGAAAAATCCCTGGGTAGCATTTTCTATTTTTATCTTACTTCCCGGATTGATGGCTAGAGTGCTCTCCCTTCCATCCTCCTGTCTGACTTCTATTGCTAATAACAACAGCTTCAGCTTAGAGAAACAAAGCCTACAAAAGTCATGGCATATTTATAGATATTGATTTCAATTTCCAAAGTCTCTAATGGTTAAAGACTGAACTTTTTTTCTATTTTGTCATTTAGTGTCAATGGAATCCCTCCATGATTAAAATCAATAATTGCTCATTTCAGAAGCTGGTTTGCAGTGTTTCCAAGTAAGGAATAGCAATTGCCTATTGTGGCAATAGATTAAATCCTATAGTTTGTAGATTTGTTTTACCATTCTATTAGGGAACCAGTTCTAAGAATGACTTAAAAAAAAGCAACAACATCAAATATTTTACTTGTGCTTTCAGGCTCACTGTTTAATTAAACAGTAAAGCTTTGAAATATGTTAGGATGTTGAGATGAAATCATACTCAGCTGCCTCTGGGAATGTCATGGTGTTAAAGGAACTGGACAGATATTCTGTGTACATCTCCATGGCTGTGCCTCTCATATAATCACACTGCCACTGGGGCATGTCTGTAGCCTGTCAACACAAAATCTCAGAATCAACACTACGTATACAACACAAGGTTGTCTACAAAATCTATAGGACACAGAATGATGAAATTGAATTGTAGGGTACAACATGCCACACTATACATGAACATGCATTTTTCAAAATATTTCTGAACACTTGAAAATGATCCTAAGGATGGCATTAGTATATACATGTAAACTATTCTTATGTTAGAATACACTGTATTGGACTATCTTGGCCCTTTCTGACCAACATTTTCATTGTCTTGTCCTTTCTTACACTATCCATCATACCATACTGTAGACAAAAATCATTTTAACTTCACTTTTTACCAGTAATATACAAATACCTGTAAATGTAAATTTTATAACTGCAACCAAGATACATGTTCCTGTTAAGTGTGTAAAGTACAGTCAAATCTTGTTATCCCAAATCAAATGGACTGAGAGAACACTTCCAAGATATCTAAGGATTCCAGATATTGAAGTAAAAATGCATAAACAAAAAGTGGTTAGGTTCTTCAACTCAGTCCGCCATGTCCACAGTGTCTGAGATATTAATTTTTGAGAGACCAAAATTCAACTGCACTTACATTTTTTTGATTATTACAAATTTTTATACAATGTACTTAAATAGCCATTATACTGTTATCACCAGTCATTCCAAGCAACTGACTTAAATGCAGCTAATATGTTGCATTAAACATGTGGGAAAGGATATGATTGGTCAGATTATACAAAGGGACAACCACTGTATCAAGCCCTGAAATACTGTACATTTATACTACATGTACATAGTATATTGGTACACTTTCCATGCCTTGCAAAGCTTTGCCATCATTCAATTTACTTTTAAGAGATAAATAATTTTATCTTAAAATCTGAAAAAGATTGTATTATATGATGGAAAGGAAAATGAATGATATGATAGATTCAGTTGAATACATATTCCCAATAATTTGGAATCATTTTATTAGGAGTTTACATAATTTCCCTACCTTGAAAAACTGCAAAATCAGATAACACTTTTAAAATCTGGTTACTGAAATAGCTCATTTAATTTAAACTTCCAAAAATGATATTCTATATATATTTGGATCTATAAAATACTAATGCATCCTTAATGTCCATTTACAATATCAGTCAAAATTTAGCTGTATTGATTTTATATATTTTTCATTGTCAGGTCAATATCTGGTACATAGACATGTATATATCATAAAGCACATGTACAGTATACAGAGTTAGTTTTTGTCTATAGCCCATTCCATTTTCCAGATGCAGTTTTATGCATCACCTGTTGAGCATGCTCAGTGAGTACAACATGGCTGCTTACCAATAGATGCAGAGATCTCAAGTAACCTTTCTACAGGGGAAAATAAGGAAAATCTCATTAAAATCAAAACAGAGAAAAAAGGTTAACAAAATATGAACATGATGTTGAAGTGATGTACTACAAACAAATGAAAATTCTATCTAACATCAAATCTAGTAGATGTACAGGAAGTAAAAGTGTTAAGCCATGCTTAGTATATGCTAACTTTTCTGAAAAGTTGAAATATGTGCTGAATCTACTACTACTGTGGTTATTTACCTCTAAACCAGAAAATCTGCCCTGTTGTACAGATTGATGAGTTAGTTTTCATCACTTTTAATGAAATTGTTTTAAAATGTTACTTCAGTAGCAATGTTCAAGCAAAACTATTTTTTTAACTTTTCCACAGATGAAATGAGTATGCGATAGTAATCAACATAAAATAATGATTAGAGAATGGAAGGGTTTTTATTTAAAAAAAGGAAACTTTGGATCCAACCAATGCTTTTACATCACTATATGTACAACTTAGAATTTTTAACACGTTCACATTTATTTCACATAAAGCACAAGGTATAGGAATTTCAAAACTGCTCACTACAAGGACTATAACTGTAAAACAAAGGGAGATAACTCACAGGCTTGTCTGATCGCATGGTGAAGAGGTTGGCCATTAGGGTGGAATAGCCAGGAGCTAGGCAGCTCTGAGCTATAAATCCCAGCTTAAGCTCGGCTACACACACTGCATCATCTCCTCTCTTCCAGTCCCAGCTTGGAATGTTCAGCAAGTAGGCCTAGAAAACAAGATGGAAGTTTCTGAAATAATTCAACCACACTGACTCTTCACCTTGGATGCATAATACATTGCCCTGATTCTCAGTAACAGAAAATATAAATCTATTATCATAAGAAACTGTAAATCAAGCTCACTGGCAAAATTGAAAGCAGAAACACTGGTTAATAAATTTATGTATCATGAAATCAAATCCTACACCATTTTTGCATAGATACATTTTAGGATGTGTACTATTAATCATATTTACCAAATAAGGAAGGCAACATTCCTGATGAATGTTTCAAGTTTGAGCTGTTAGAACAAGTCAAGTGTAATATTACACTGACTTAACTTGATGAATGATGTCCCTTTGATTAAATACTCTCTAAGGTTACTGTGATCACTGAGGTACATAAATTCTTCAGTTTATTATATGCCCAACTTTGCCTAGATGTGGCAACTGATGGAGATATCACTCTAAAGATGCCTTGGATACTGAATGCCAACAGAAGAATTATCAGATTAAAATTCATCTGAGACACATTCCCATTTCACAAGTATTTATAATTAGCCAAGCAATAACAAAACTTAATTTATAGATGTTGCATCAAAGGAGCATTCATGCTGCATGTGACCTTTATTGGACAGATGAAGTACCAAATGAAATCCATTTTATACAGCTGTAATCTTAAGAACATATGCAACATAGTTTTGAAGTTTATTCACTTTTCCCTTTTTATTTAAGAGTTCCAATAATTGAATGACCTTGGTTTAACTTTTACAATGCCTATAATGATGCTTTTCGCCTCTTCTAAATCAACTTTTGAGAAAATACCGGTACCAGCTAATTCTATACCATTGTTAATTTCTCTTCCAATAACACGATTTTCAATATTTGATATCCAGTCAAAACCCTATCTGATATATGCTGATTCTTTTTCTAAGAACATTGGAAGGTACTATAAGAATATTTGAAAAATTATCAGTGGGAAAGGTACATTGTAAGGTATATGTACATGTATTGAGTATGACCATAACTATTTTTTTCAAGCAATGTCAAGACTTCATAATCTGATGTAAAATTATTGTAGAATGTACCAAAAATATGTGCAGATATAGATTTTCTCAGGAATGAAAATTAAAAAACACCCACACTCCACTTGATCCTTAGGTTGGGGTCCAAAAAGTAGTCCTCTATATTTAAACTTACTCAGTGAAAGATTTCAGAAGCAGTTGAAAGTCAAACTCATTTATACTTAATTAAAGCTTGCATGCATCCTCATTTATACCTGTCTTTCCCTGAAGAAATCTATAAATGAAATCTATAAATCAGTGTACAGCTTGCTTTCAAAAGTTTTCTTCAATATTATTTCATAGCAATTATAACTGCCATAAATCATGAAAATTAGTAGTAATTTTCCTGGGCTTCCCCAGCAAGCATTGTGTTGAACAACAATAAAACAAGACTGATGAATAAAAAAATGAGGAATATTCTATAGAATATTACAATATCTACAGTAAAAATGTCATAACAGTTCACTTGCTTCATGAAGGATGTGAAAGCTGTGATTTAAGAGCCGATAGGTTTGTAGAAAAGCTGGCCATTGGTAGCTGTTAACTTTAACACTTTTTGTCCATTTCAGGACATACCAGGTGATTTAAAATGATGAATTCATTCAATTCAAAGAATATTCTGAGTTGATCTGAGGAGATAGTGCAGTATAATAGGTGAAATTCAGTGTGAGGCATAAGATGAGATTTAGTGAGCAGTATAAGAGATCAGATTCAGTGCTGTAGCATAAGAGATGAGATTCAGCGAGCAGTATAAGAGATAGGATTAAGTGTACAATATAAGAGATGAGATTCAGTGCTGCAGCATTAGAGATGAGATTCAGTGTGCAGTATGAGATGAGATTCAGTGTGCAGTAAAGGAGATGAGATTCAGTGTGCAGTATAAGAGATGAGATTCAGTGTGAAGCAATGGAGATGAGATTCAGTGTGCAGTAAAGGAGATGAGACTCAGTGTGCAGTATAAGAGATTAGATTCAGTGTGAAGCAATGGAGATGAGATTCAATGTGCAACATAAAAGATGAGATTCAATGTGCAGTATAAGAGATGAGATTCAGTGTGCAGTATATGAGATGAGGCTTAGTGAGCAGTACATGTATAAGAGTTGAGGTTCTGTGCGCAGTTTAAGAGATGAGATTCAGTGTGCAGTATAGGAGTTGAGATTAAGTGTGCAGTATAAAAGATGAGATTCAGTATGTAGTATAAGAAACAAGATTAAGTGTCCAGTTTATTAAATGAGATTCAGTGTGCAGTAAAAGGGTTGAGATTCAGTGTGCAGGCTCAGATGAGATTCAGTCTACAATCTGAGAGATGAGATTCAGTGTCACTACAATGTATAATTAAATCAATACCACCCTTGTTCTTGGATTTGTGTGTAATAAAAACTATCCTAAACTTCAAATACCATTCTAACATCCTTTGTGATAAGTGAAGTTAACTATATGTCTATCCTTGAGTACATTTCTAAATGAATTCCATCTCCATAACTAAGGTGAGGTGTTTTTCTTCCTCAGTAATTTCCCAGGAGAGTGACGGTAACAATAAATTCTATACTGTTTATCTCCTCTCCCAGTCTATAAAATAAACTATGACAGCTAGCTGACCTATTTTCATGAAATATGACAATTAGCTGACCTATTTTTAATCATTGGATTCTAAATATGATGAACTTTAAAGAGCACTCTAAAATTTTGATCATTTCTGACTTCAAGTTTGATTCATTTTCAAATAGCTTTCTTCTGTAATTAATAGAATGTGTTTGATACTCTATTGAATGTTGAAGATTTTACATTCTATCATACTTTAAACATAGCAGTACCAGATTATAGCATCTGATCTTTTTTTTATGGATTCTCTTTCCTCCAGCCCCATGCAGCTCTAATTTACTGTTCACCAGTACATAAATGCTTTAATCACCTTATTATGGTATTGCATCAGCTGTACAATGACTTTAATCTCGGCATGGAAGTTTTTGATGGAGATGACTCTCATTATATTGGCTGCATCCTCTTGGTCGGGGTCTTCACAATACTTATTAGCCAGAACAAGACAGGCATCGGCTGATTCTATCTGTAAAACACACAGTACTTTATTACGGTGTTAGTCTTGTTTTATAACATCGGCCCTATAAAATCCCACTTAGGAAATTTTGGGTCATAGTTTATTCATAAGTGTTTTTACTCAAAATCCAATATCATGGAAGTTAAGATGATAAAATATTTATGGTTACTAAACATATTTGTGGATTTTTTTTTAATACTGTGTTGAACTGGTTAATTATTAAAAACCTTTATGGCACTTTTCAATAGCAGTTTACAGCATCTGTACCGGGGTACATGTATATATTCTGCAATCAATAATGTACGAAAAAGTCCCTACTGGAAACCCCAGCAAAACAATTATAATCATAGGCAAAGATGTCAAGTTGAGCGTTTTGTATGCATCGATGTTATTAATTCTATGTTATAACTTCAAAGTTCATCACTTGCTGAATTTAGAAGGTCTTATAATCACTATAATGCATGTAGATAGGAATGAAAATAGACCAGGATACCTTCACCCGGGCTAAATCATTAGATAGGAATAAAAATAGTCCAGCATACCTTCACCCGGGCTAAATCATTAGCATCCATGACAGTCCCATGGAAGAATTCCACTTGTGTGAAATGTCTCTTCAGTAGCCCCTCTAATTCTAGGTCTGGTAGAATTCTACAGAAATTTAATAAGTAAATCAACGCCATGTTCATAGTAAGGTATCTCAGAATATCTTGTACACTGAAAGAAAACTTCAGATTATACAATGCCCTGTATCAAATAATCTGAAATCAATCATTATTATGGGGACAACCATTTAATTCTGAAAGAGGGGATGGGATTGAAAGATTTTGGAAATGATCTGTCCTCAAAAATATTGAGTTTTTTTTTTTTTTTTTTTTGCTTGTTTAACTCTTATCTGTGAAGAAGAAAATATATAATATGTCCCTGATCATCTTAAAAATAAATAAGCTGTCCTTCATTGACATGAAAATAAATTACCTTATTCAAAAAAATAACTTGCCCCGCTTCCCTTTAGAATCAAATTGTTGTCCCATAAAAGACAGTTCAACTAGTACAGTTTCTCTTTTGCTTTGTAGAAAATTATTAATAACAATTTCCCATAGAATCAGAAAATAAGAATAAAGCATTAAGAAAATAATCAATAAAAAGGGAAGAAAATGAAACATGTTTTTTAAAAGCAGGTAATTCATTATGGAAATTCTTATTAAATTCTGAGACAACAGCTACAGCCTTTTTAGTACAGCCCAACAGTCATATTGAGAGATGATTGTCTAGGAATTATAGCTTCCTCATTGACTTGAGAGATGATTGTATAGGAATTATAGCTTCCTCATTGATTTTTTTGAGACACAATGGTTACATTCATTCTAAATTCAAAACCAAATTATTTTTTATATTGACTTTTGGATTATTTCTCTGCAGATCTGCTCCAAATTTTCATCATGATTGGCGAATGAACAATTTTGTTCACATGGATCAATTTTCTTGAGAAAGTCAAGATTCTGTTCCTGTATATCAAAATGGAAGTTACTTGAATGAAGACTTTCTAGACATACATACACAATGAACACTGTGTACTGATCTGTGAATAAAGACAATTTTACATCTACCTTGAACATGCTGAGCTTACATTGAACATATTCAATATGCTTGTGAACATACATTATTTCCACTTCCACATTGAACATTTTGACCTCACACATGTGCCACAAGGCTCACCTGAGTTACTTTGGCCCCACTGTCCTTCATTAGATATTTTTTCAAGATTTTCCCCTCTTTATACCCATGAATTTTAAAACCCCTTACTGTGGCCCCAACCATATGATAGTCTCAAGAGATTATGACTTAAATGAACTTAAATCTACACAACATTAGGATACTTCAATATCTATATGACAATAGAATTGCTGTTCTGAGGAATACTTTAAAAAAAATTACTATTATAAGCACAATGTAAAATTTGATCCCTGATTATAGCCCCACCCTAACGGTCCTTATTTTGAAGAAAAAAAATTAATGTTTGCATATTATGAGTTTGATCTCCTATTGTGGCCCCAACCTACCCCTGGCGACCATGATTTTAACTACATCCAGTCCAACTTCATTGTAAGGGGATAAAAAAAGTTAACAGACAAATGGACCGTGGACAAACTTTGATCAGGAAAGCTCATTTGAGCATTTAGCTCAGGTTAGCAAACAAAAACTATCTCCACTTCTACCTTCAACATTCTAAACTCATTTGTGAACAAAAAATATTTCTACATTCACATTAACATGGTAAACTTACTCATGAACAAAAACTACTTCCACATCTACACTAAACATTCTGAACTCACTTGTGAACAAAGACTTGTTCTACGTCCTCATTGAACATGTGAACAAAGACTTGTTCTACACTGAACATGCTGAACTTACTTGTGAACAAAAACTATTTCTACATCCACATCCTCTCTGTCTTTGTGGAGAAAGTCTTTCAGGAAATTGGACACAGAATCAAAGGTGATATGACCACATACTACAATATGTCTGAAAGAAAGATAAATATTATACAGATTTATTTGCACTGAAGTTTCTTAACACTAAGAACTTCAACACAGACACAACACATACTTGGTGCATAATAATGCATAACTTGGATCATAATACACAGCAACTGTTGTCTTTAATTAGAAATTTGACCAGAATTCTTGTAACATTGAGTAGATTAAAAATTTCTTATTAAGTTAACTCTTCAATACCTACTTTTTACCCCTCTCTTTTTTATAACAGCCGCCATATTTTTGTCTGCGTCCCAGTATGTCTGCAATTTCTGGTACCCAAGATGCAAACATACCCTATCAATGGAAGATGTAATACATGTATTTTATATGAAATGTTTGCCAAACTGGATTCAAACCATTTGAAAAAAAAAATGCAAGATATCATTATATCTAATTAAAAACAAAGGACAAGGTACGGTAACACCTGAATTTAGCCACTTATTTGATATTAAAAAAAAAACACAGTTAAAATTGTGTTAGTTTGCAATTAAGAACTTTAAATGATGCTTCTTTTAAAAACCAGCATTAATTTTAATTCAAAGCATACAAGGAGGCCACAAGAATGTGATAAAGTAAATTATTTTATCAAATTTACTTAATTCTGATGAAATTTCATCATATAGGATATCCTTTTTATTTTGGAAAACATAAATTAGGTAGATAAGCAACCTTCTGCTGTGTTATCTAAAATAATATGTGCTTTAATATTGATGAAAATTTGAATTAAAATGAGAAAATTTAGAAATTGACCAATCTTTTGACCTTCCTGTGATCCTGTTATCCTAGCTATCAATCACTCAGAATCAACATTTCAAGACAGGGGTGATACATGTATAAGGTTTGGGATTATAAACTACTGCATCATTCTCGAAGACACCTCAAACCAGGGGCCAAAAAGGGATCTTAGTCTAACTTCTCATTTATAAGTAAATAAAGTTCTTGCCAATAAAATGGGATTTAAAGTGAAAGTATTAGTTTCAATGTAGGTTTAAAAAAAATCTTTTATTTCCACAATAATATTAATTTTGAGAAAAAAATCAAATACTTTAATTTTTAATTGGAAAACATATATTTTTTTAAGTGATGAATATGAATGTTTTGACATGATTAATTGTAAATGTACATTATATCCTAGACTTGTGCAATGGAAATAACTAATTCACTATTAGTGAGACTAGGTTATTATATGCATGTGAAGTTCAGTCTACTAATCTAATTTCTTTCATCGATTTTTTAAAATGATTCTAGGTATGTCATAGCAAATTGTTTTGTACATCCAACGAGCAGGTCTCCGTCCTACTAAATCACTTAACAAAACTAGCAGGCTTAAACAGCCATTGTATATAATTCATTGTTCGTGAAAACCTAGAGAACTTAATAAAAACACTCCCAGAAGTCACTGTCAATACAACACTGATACAGAACAATGCTTCAATAACGGGATCAATGTACCATCAATATGTACACTGTATACATACTTCTATAACTTCAAAACTGATTTGTTTAACCTCTCACTCATTATAGGAACAATTAAGGTTCTATACTGATAATCCCAGTATAGCTGTATTTAAATTTGCAGATTTAGAATGCAGATTCTAAACTTCATGTCATTTCAATCTATATTTCTTTATAGATAAATTATAAAGTTGTGCTTTAAAAAAAAAAAGGTACATATAATGTCTGTTATTTACATGCATTGATTGTCTTCCAGATATAAAAGTTTTTGTAGTAATGGCTATCTGCTAAGTGTATGTAAATGCGGCATATAGTGTCAAATATGGGCGAAAATATTAAACTCAACATTAATCCTTAAATTATGTTGAAAAAAAATCTCAATTTTGTAGAAACATTTGAATGACTTGATAATGCTGTATATGTGGCAATGACAGCAGGCAATTTAATTCATTCATGTGCATATATACACTGTATACAGGCCACTGTTGGCAATTGAGGTTCATTGAAAAGCAAATGAAAAAAAAATCAGTAGCTGGGTCACAAAACCTTATTTACAGTATGTACATAACTATTTAATGAGAATAATGCTCTGAAGTTTAAATGTAACACATTTATAAATGGATTTAGCACTGTACTGGGATCAGTATAGCCCTCAGGTGGGTGTTTATAGGCTAGAAAAAGGGCTGAATCAAAGGTCAACACTACAGGTATCTCTAATATTAAAATGTTCCCATATAACAGGTGCATTTATTTACACCTTGACATAATTCAGCAAGTAACAAAACGATGTATAGGTAACAAACTGCCTCAGAAATCACAGACAATGAATTGATTTTCCATTAGTTCTGATAAATGTTTGTATCATTAATTTCTCAATGTCTGCTTCCCAAAGGAATCATTATCTGAATTAGCAATGATAAAATCTTAATGAAAAAATCTTTGTTTTTTTTCCCCCCAATTTATTCAATGTATTGTTTTTGCTTCCTTCTATGCATAGATTTAAGTAGCAGAATTATGCAAGTCATTCTCATTTTGAATATACTAACTTGTTATATACATACATGAAACCTTTACTATATTATATAAAGCTATCTCACAGTCTGCATAAAATAACTATCCCAGCAGGAAGATAGAAATATTTTGAAGCTTCACAAAGATACACTATAGCCCTAGCAAAAACATTTTCATAAAACCCACTCAAAGAAACTAAATACAAAGAACAAGTTGTCCAATCATATTACTGGATATGAAGATCCATCAACCCAATTCAAACTGGATACAAAGACCTCAAAACTCACTCCTGAATCAATATAAAAGATCACAAACAAAGATCCATCAATCCAATCTAGAAACAATACACAGATCCAAGGACCCACTTTATAAAGGATACAAAGATCCACAGTCCTACTCTATAATGGATATAAAGATCCACAGATGCACTCTAAAACATGGATACAAAGATCCACAGATGCACTCTAAAACATGGATACAAAGATCCACTCTATAATGGATACAAAGATCAATAAAGCCTTTTAATGGACACAAAAATCCACAGACAAACTTTTTAATGGATACTAAGATCCACAGATCCATTTTTTAATGAATGCAAAGATCCACAGAACCACTCTATAATGGATACAAAGATCCAAAGACCTACACTAAATTGGACACACAGATCCACACAATAATTGATACAAAGATCCACAGATCCACTCTATAATGGATACAAAGATCCAAAGATCTACTCTAAAAAGGATAAACAGATCCACTCTATAATGGATACAAAGATCCACAGATCCACTCTATACTGGATACAAAGATCCAAAGACCTACTATAAAATGGATACACAGATCCACTCTATAATGGATGCAAAGATCCACTCTCTAAAGATCAACAGACCCACTCTATAATGGATAGAAAGATCCACAAACCTACTCTTAAACATGGATACAAAGATCCTCAGACCCACTCTTAAATATGGATACAAAGATCCACAGATCCACTCTATAATGGATACAAAGATCCAAAGACCCACTCTTAAATATGGATACAAAAATCCACAGATCCACTCTATAATGGATACAAAGATCCACAAACCTACTCTTAAACATGGATACAAAGATCCACAGACCCACTCTAAAAAATGGATACAACAATCCACAGACCCAGTCTATAAAATGGATACAAAGATCCTAGGACTTAAGAACTATAAAATTGATTCAAAGTTCCATCAACTCAATCCAGAAAATGGATGCAAAGATCAGGAGTCCATGCTATAAATTGGATACACTAAGCCATCACTCCAGAAATGTATTCCAAACAATTAAAGAACCTTCTCTTTTTAATGTTTTAGGATCATTTTAACAAAGCATTCCTGGGCACACTCAATAAACAAATCATACAACTATCCAAAGCCCCCCCCCCCCCTCTCCAAAAAAAACTGTCGATATTAACAAGACTCATTCTCAAATGATAAGCACATGATGCTAAAAATAAACAAAATGGGGCTGTAACTGTTCTATTCATCTTAACTATATCAGGCAGTTATAATTTGACAGCTATGTTATGGCTGAACTGGCACTGCACTCAGTCCTTAACACCCTATAGAGTTTCTGATGACTGGACTAGCATTTCTATATTGATTTGATATAGGAGTATGTGGGTAATTACAGCATCAAGTCATTACAGGCTCCAATGTCTTCTGTAGTCATGGGCTTAAAGTCAGTCATTACACACCACAGAAGAGGCTGCCCAGAATCTGCAACAATGCTTTTCCTAAATAAGAGTTTCAGTGATAATTTTTTTTTGTGAAAAAAAAAGAAAGATTTGTGGATCAATGAAATTAGATGTGCATCACCTTCAGGTTTCATTCACTGTGTATTGCTTAGCATAGTAGACTATCTCTAACTTGATAAAGAGAAATCCATTATGTTTAACAGATAATTACACAATACCAGGACTATCTTTGTAATATGTTTCTCTTTCAACATGCTTGTCAAAAAACAATTTAAATCATATGATAAACATGTTTATACAATAACTTGATTTGTAATCAGTAAAGATATATTTCAAACAAAGAGTGTGTTTACTGTACAGATTTTTTTCTCACTCTCTTTAAAAGGAAGTCAGGTAGAATCAATCATTTAGTCAGTGTGTGTTTTTAGAGGCTTTTCTGTGCAAAATCAGCAGTGACTTTTAGATTCGACAATTATTTTGTCAAGAAAGTCTGTAAGGAATGGATAATTGAGGAGACAATCAATTACCTCTATATATAAAATAAATACTAAAACATTTTTCTGAATGAGTCAATCCAAATACAGCTTAATTCACATTTGTGTGTGAGTGTGTGTGTGATGGGGAGGGGGGAGGATTATTACTTACAATGCTGATCATTATAAAGAGCACAATGAAGATTTTTCCAAGGACAGTGTTTGCCCCTACGTCACCATAACCAACAGTTGACATGGTAACCAAGAGGAAGTACATACACTCCCAGTAGGTCAGAAGTTGGGGATTTTCAAAGTTATTCCATGGATCTCCCGCATTTTCTATCTATAAAAAAATCAATTAAAACATCATTAACTTAGTAGTACATTTATTTTACTGTAAATCTCATTTCACTGAGTTATTTAAATCTGTAAATGTATAAATATTGTAACTGTCACAGTGTCAGTACACAGAAATGTTCAAAATTGTCAATACTGTTAAATTCATTACACTGAAATGTTCAAATGCTGTTAGGTCAGGATCCTTTAAATGTCATTACACTGATATATTCAAATGCTGTCAAGTCTAGTAAAGTCTAGAAACTTTGAATGGAACTAGACATCATTGAGATGGTGGCCATCTCAAAGGGCCCCGCTTTCAGCAACGAAAATGAAAATGTAAGGTAGCCTATTTTTGAAATTGACCCTTGACCTACATGTATAAACTTCGTTCAAGGTCACTGCACATTGACCAGTGGCACTCTGTGAGTGAAGTATGAGCCACATTGGACCAAGGGGAGAGAAGATATGCTCGGACAAGGATTTTTCATATAATTCTGCTATGACCTTAACCTTAGACCTAGAAACATGGTTCAAGATCACTGCACACTCTTTACCCAAAGGCACTCTGTAGGTGAAGTATGAGCCAGATTGGGCCAAGGAGAGAGAAAATATGCTCCGGACAAGAATTTAAACTGAGAGGCTACACTGAAATGTTCAAATGCTGCAAACTCTAGATCCTGTACATGTAATTACACTGAAATTTTCAAATACTGCATATCTACATGTTGCTTTAAGGTCTGTACAGCATACATCAATTTGGATCTACTTACTAGATGTAAAAATCCAGCTGAAGCTAACCACAGGCTGATAAAGAATGCCACAAGCTGGGACAGCTTTATCATGGTGCTGGTCTTCAGGACATTTAAGTAGGTCAAGATGTCGGGAATGGACATCAGTCTTAGTGCTCTCAAGAATCTCAGACCTGGAGAAAATGTACAATACCATTTGTCATGGATATATTATCAAAATGTACCAATAAATAGCAGTGTTTTAAATTTTATTCTTATAATTTACCCTTATTAATACATGTACAGTCAAACCTCGTTATCTCGAACACAATGGGACCAAGAGAAAACTTCAAGATATCTAAGGATTTGAGATATCCAGGTAAAATACTTAAAGAATAAGGGGTTGGGACTTCCAAATCGCTTCGACATTTCCATGGTATTCAAGATATCAGTGTTCTAGATACTGACGTTCGACTGTATTATATTTCTTGTGTATGTGAGGAGCTTCAATTGTTTAGAAGAAGAAAGTAAGTTCATTCTGAATTTTTAGTCACTGTAATAAACAGAATGATAATATTTTGTCTCATTTATCATAGTAACTTATTCTATCTGAGCTTTGATAACCCTCCTGAGAACACTAACCTTAAATCTGAGCATTTCTATTTTATGTCATTTTTCTTGTTTACCGGTACATGAATATTCAAAATAGTTGTATTTTGACCACTTTGCACATATAATATTTTTTCCCCAAATGTTGCAGAGTAGATTGCAGCCATCAAGGGGCATCTAAGGTGCCATATAAACTACTTTCTACTGCAATAAACCATTACCTAGGTCATAAATAACCTATTGAAAATTAACACTTTTTCAGAATTCATCAATAAAATAAAACATGCATTTGGGATTTAATTTTTACAGAGGCATTGTCACTCTTCTTATTTTCACTTCATAGTTAAGCCTTCACAATAAATGAAAAATATATTGATTTTATGCCCCTTTTTGAGTTACTGAATAAGGAAGTCCATTTTTTTTCACCTTTTTTTAATTTCTAAAATGTACAAACATAATATTTGTATCATACAATTGTCACAGAGTAAATACTATATACAGATTTGTGATAAGGATAGCTATATAGATTATATCAGGTTTACTTTATTTACAATATTTCTTGAACATGGGAAATTATTCCCAACAATTGAATGTAACCAGTATACAATATCATCAATTGGATAAAGCCTATGAAGATAGAACATAAAAACAAACACGCCTATGGAATGTTAAAGGTAGATTGTTGGATAATTTTTTGATTTCCCAACATAAACATGTATAAAATTCAGCATTGTGAGTGACATTAAAACACTGCAGGTCATTACTGGTAAAAGTAGAATATTCCATTTTCTTTGAAGTTTTATGAATCTAAAAGCTGTATTATGCTAGGAAACAATCATATTTCCTTAAGAGCTCTCTCACCTCTATCATCTTTGAACAGGGAATTATTTAATCTTAGACTAATTATAAATCTCGGATTTTCAGAAAATTTTGAAATCAGGTGTAGTGCCTGAAAACTAACTTAGTTTTGCTTGAAATATCAGTTTTCACTGTAGTAGATACTGTCTAAATGGGTAAGTGTGTATATAAGAAGCTAATATAATTGAATTATTGTTTATTTTTATTCATTCATGTTTTTATTGTGTTCCAATTTCATATTTTTATTGTTTATTTTCAGTCATAATTATTATTTCTAGGGTAAATGTCTTTTATGCAGTGTATCTGGTGTTCTAGTGTTGTATCTGTAGAAAATAATGACGCATGCGCAGATGGGGGTTAGTCGATGCCTGGCATCAAAAAACGACTAACCCCCATCTGCGCATGCGTCATTATTTTCTCGCTAAATTCTGCAGTTTTCTGCAATCAGACGGCGATATTAAAATAATCCATCGAATGTCCGTCATTAAATTATCCTACGACTCCACTGTTATCGCAGAACGTTCCTTCCGAGTTGTAGATATCCATTAAACATTGCCAACAACGCACGGCTTCATAGTCCCCATGAATGAAGACCCGACTAAAGAAATGACTCGCAGCAAACGAAAATACATACCGATGCGTATTCAGCACGACAACTGCACACACCTACATATGTTTTCACAACCGTAACAACTTTTAAATCCAACGAAACGCCCAGAAAAACGCAGCGATGTAAACACTACCAAATTTACAGCAGCTTCCTAATGCAGACAACCACTACTCGACGTCACAGTCGTAAAATACGACGTCACAGGTACACTGTTTTCCCGAACTTTTCTAAAGCAAAATGGCGATTAAGCATTGTGCGTAATATAAGGCATACTGTCTTAGTTGTTCAACACACGTACTTTTAATTGTTTGCAAAAAGTTCTCCTTTAACCAGGTAATTAAATTTCACAAGAGGAAAGGAAACTGGAATGTCTTTAGTACAGAAATCGGTCTTTGAAAATTGAAGATCCATGATCCGCCCACTTGTTTCACCTCCAGCTAAGAGGTGCATAATTAGTGTGCAAATCGAGAGTTTTCAAGCCATTGTGACGTCACCCTCAATAATTTGTAACAGATCATTGAAATCTTACAAATGAATCAATAAAAAAAAAGTAATAAAGAGTTAAACTGTGGAAAACATTAGTTTGAAGTCTTTGTGTACTATAAACAAATTCCCAAGTCTTTGTGACATTACTCTTAAACTTGCAATGACGGGGAACAGAGAAAAATACTGCGTCATAAATATAATAACAATAGTATTTGAATACACCAGTCAGATTAATCCACCCCGTGTCCTCTTTTCTTGTACTATACAAACGTATTTTTTTTTAGACAGAATACCCCCCCCCCCGGCGAAAAACGGATCGAGTACTCAGTTCAAATATTTTTATTTTTTTTTTTATTATAATTATTTTCATCATCAAAATATATATATATTTGTATTGGCTCCAAAAAAAAATATTGAACAAGTTAAATTGATGCAAATCATCAAATCGACCTCAAAAATATATAAATCAAAAATATATAGAGCATTTTGAAGTATTTCCAAAAGAAAGAGCCCCCCCCCCCCCCAAATGCATTTATGGCAGAATCTTGGAGAGGCGGATCTAAGAAAAAAAAATTAAATATTTTCTTCAGTGGCATGTCTGATGCACCTTGGAATTTAGTGTTTTTTTATTTTTTATTATAGCCTTAAAATAATTCTGAATCTAGGGAGAATCCACAGTGTGCAAGTCTTTCTAAGACACTGTGAGTTACCCCATACCCTGCATATTTCACTTACCCATTGAGAAGAAGGTAAACATGGCCTATTTACACCCTTCATACGTTCACAGGCAACATTTCTCAATATTTGAAATTTTAATTCTTTTCCCCAGACACTCTCCTTCCTATCTATGCCCTAAAATCAGTCCATCCCACCCCGTACGAATCCTAAGACATATTTAGGAGAAAAAACCCTGCGCTTTGCTTGGTCAATGAAATGGGGTAAAATTAGTACCTGTGGCATACTAATACTTTCTAAAATCAAATTAAGGGTTACATACAAATTCCAACATTTATTTTAATTTCCTTTTTATTTAACTTTGTTTATTGTTTACTCTTTTATTTTCTATAATTATATGTTTCATTTTAAATGTATTATTATTATTATTGAGCACATAAAATATTGAAATTATGCCACCACCACCCCCACCCCCGAAAAAAAATTAAAGGCGTCATATTATTCTTTAAAAATAAAATTTAAAGCTTTAATCTTATATCTGTAAAAGTTTTGGATCCTTCACTCAACACTGTTGACATCATTTGTCTCGGATAATATAAAGATAAGCGTAAGCCAGCGTTAATTGCGCATTGATTGATTTCAGTCTACATGCAGCTACACCAGAGAAAATCCACAGAATTTCTTCCCATGTAGAAAAGTGCATCTTTATGATAGATTTTTACACCTGTTCGACTTTTCTGTGTATTTTTTATCCCCTCGCAAGGGAGTTGCGTGTTTGTTTGTGGGTGAGTGAGATAGTTCTCTGCGAAACGGAAGTGACGTAATTTGCATTGGAATCGATGTCGGATGCTGCCTAAGCTTATGGATAATAAATTGCGCAGCTCGATCACTATATAATAGTATGCTGCTAATCTATTATTATTATCATTTTCTTTAGCTTCATGTGGTTTTCTACCTTCTCAATATTTTTGTCCCAGTTTCAGACAATTGTGGATATGTAATCTTGCATTTTCACGAGTATCTTATTTGTGTATTGTAATCTTCCATTTATACCTACATGTTAAATATAACATGGTTAATATTCATGGTTAACATGGTTAATATTCTAACATATTACGATATTTTAATATTATTTAATTAAATGTGATCTTATTGTTATAATTGTGTTTGCCCTCTGAGGGCCCTTGATTGGTGAATAAGCATACTATTATACATCATATTTCAACAACATGGGAATGGGAAGGGGCTGTAAGCCTTTGAATGAAATTGTCCATACAAGGACTCTTTTCGGACAAACTATTATTGCGCAGATTTAGAGGGATATCTGGAGTGTCCAACTCCACCCTCGGATATTTTCTGGGATATAAAATTTAAATAGCAAAGTAAACCAAAATGACCCCCCCCCCCCTTTAAAAAAAAATCAGACACTTAGGACACCTGGTAAAATGTGATCGAATGAGTCATTTACATGTCCTAACACCCGCTCCCAAATAGGTTGTTCGCTTATGATTGGCTACTCCAAAAAATTGGAGATTTTTTTCTGTTGGAGTAGCCCCCTCATTCTCCTAACCTCGGAAAATAATCACACGTTTCAAAGCACACCATCATGTAAGAAATATTAATTTATATGTTTATATTTCACATAAAATGTAAATCCTGTCTCTCCATATAGCGTTCCTGCATTGATGATGATTTTCCTGGTCGATGTTCACAGGCTCGACTTGTAGTACTAGTAATGCAGTGCTGGATTTTCAAACTCGCAATCGCGTGGCAATATTGTATAGGAAACAGATCACGTCACATTTTGATAAAATATTTTGGAAAAAATAAAATAATTAATGATAGTGAAGGTAACATTATGTAAGCAAAATCATATAATTGTTCTTTTTTTTTTGCTGGGAAAATTGTTAGACTGTAGTGATGCTTTTATAATATGCACAGTATTATTTCTTCTTC